TAGGAGTGGGGTTGTAGCTCAGTGGTAGAGCACTTGCCTAGCACATTGAGGCACTAAGTTTGATCCTCAGTACCACAAAAAAATAAATAAAGGTACTGTGTTCATCTAACTAAAAAATATTATAAAAAATGGGTATGATAGTCATTCCTTTAAGTATTAAACAGGTTAATTCATGTCATGCATTTAAAATAATATCAAGGGGCTGGGGTATGGCTCAGTGGTAGAGCACTTGCCTCACACATGCAAGGCCCTGGGTTTGATCCTCAGCACCACATAAAAATAAATAAATAAAATAAAGTTAAAAAAAATGAAAAAAATAATACCAGGATTGTTTTAAGCACTCAATAAATGATGATCTTAGAGAAGAGCTTAATTTAGTATTTCTTTGGGGTTGAGCCAGCATATAGAGGGCAAGGTGCTATTCATTTTTCTTTATCAGTTGTTGTGACACCTTCACTCATTATGTTAGTCAGTTTTCTGTCACTATAATAAAACACGTGAGATAATTAAGAGAAAAAAGTTTATTTTGGTTCACAGTTTTGGAGATTCCAGCTCATGATCAATTGGTCCAATTTTTGGGGGCCTGTGGCGAGGCAGCACATCCTAGCAGGAATCTGTGGCAGAGCAAAATTGCTCACCTCCTGGCTAGGAGGCAAAAGAGGAAAAGGAATGGGCGAATGTCCCACAATCCCCTTCAAGGATTCATACCCAATAACCTAAGGACCTCCCACTAGGCCCTACCTCCTAAAGATTCTACCACCTCTCAGTAGGGCCACCCTGGGGAACAAGACTTTAATACACGGACCTTTGGTGAACATGTATTTGAACCATATCTTTCATTGATGCAAATCCGCATTCACTGCATGAGCATTTACTGAACATCTTCCCTGTACACAGCACAGGAATCTAGGTGCAATCTGCCCAGGCTTGTGTGGTGGTGTCTCCAATCAGAGGCTTGCCTATCCACATGTGCTAAAACCACCCCTAAAAATATTGATGTTCACCCTCAATTTTACCAAGGCCCAGAAAGCAAGGGTGGAGTTTCCTTTCCCCACCATCGTTACTTTGGCCTCACCCCAGTGCTGAAATTCACAGCACTGACCCACGTTTTATTGTTTTAGCTATTTAACTTCCTGCTTGCCCACAAGACTATGAAGATGGGACTAGGTTCCCATTCCACCCTCAGGATTAAGTATATAGAAGGCCCTTAATAAATGTATGTTATATATCTGCTGCATGAATTTCTCTGTGAGTGCAGAAATTTCTTGTACATAAGGTCTGCCAATGCAATCACAGTCTCTTGGCTGATTTGAGAGGAGCTTTTCTGGGCCACACACTTGCTGAACTTTCTTTCTTCAGCTGTTTAAGCCAGCTGCATCTGTTAGTAACTAAAATGAGTATGTGACAGGGTAAGCCTCTTGTCAGAGCAGGGTGGGAATATCCAGCACACAGAGGGCAAGGTGCTATTCATTTTTCTTTATCAGTTGTTGTGGGTAAAATGTTCTTTCAGATGTATAGGCCAAACTTTATTCAGCTGCACAACTGTGGAAACTCATGCTATTATGGAGGAATCCACTCTGAGCCCAGGAACAAAAGGCAGATAATGAGCATATAAACAGCTGTATATTTCAACACCCAGAAACCTCTTTAAGGATAAAAAACTATTTCCCTCGTTTTTGCACTGGGGATTGAACACAGGAGTACTTTGCCATTAAGCTACATCACATATTATTTTGAAACAAGGTCTAAGTTGCTTAGAGCCTTGCTAACTTGATGAGGCTGAACTCAAAATTTGTGATCTTTCTGCTTCAGCCCTCCAAATCACTGGGATTACAGGTATATGCCACCTTGCCTGGCAAGGAACTAGTTTTAATAATGTATCTCATTCAAGGTTTCATGATAACTGTGGCAGGAATGATTTCCCCTGCACAATAGTGATGGCTAATGGCTCCTATCCCTGTCTTTTCTGCCAAAAAACCGCCCAAGCATTTCTTTGATTTAACACTATTATAAGCAACATATTTGTTTATAATACTTATCATATATATATATATATATATATCTTAAATAAGGGTTGCAAAGATAGAACTCCTTTAGTGATCACCAATCTGACAATTGGAGTTTTGGTCTCTTATGACCTTGATACATTTGAACAGCATTTGTCAGGTATTTTGTAAAATGTCCTCAACTTGGGTTTGTATGATGTTTTTCACATGATTTAGATTGAGGTTGTGGATTTGAAGAAAGACTATCACAAATGTGACGTACACTTCTCAAATCATATTTTGGGGTACTTGATATTGTTTTATTAGAGGTGATTCAAACTTTGATCACTTGGCTAAGTGGGGGCTACCCAGGTTTCTCCATCTTTCCTTTTTTATATCCATAGAGTATTTTTATTTTATTTATTTTCTATTTTTTAAAATACTTTTTAGATGTTGATGAACCTTGATTTTATTCATTTATTTATATGTGGTGCTGAGAATTGAACCCAGTGCTTCACACATGCTAGGCAAGCACTCTGCCACTGAGCCACAGCCACAGCCCCATAGAGTATTTTTAACCTGTAGAATAACTCTGTAGGTTTGATTAACCCCACTTAAGACAAATTTGTTGTATTTTTAGTTAAATCACTGAAAACTCACAGAATATAAATAGATTATCTATTTTATTTAACAAATAAGGAAACCAAAGCCCAGAGAGGCTTGATGGCATGGTCAGGATCAGTGAGACCCCACCTCTAAATAAAATATAAAATAGTGCTGGGGATGTGACTCAGTGATTGAGTGCCCCTGCTTATTGTAGAACCAAACCCCAGGTCCCCTGACTTGCAATGAAGAAGCAAATGCATGACCGAGACTTCATTAATGGAATTAGGTATAAGATCTCCAGATCCTCACTTAGTCATGGCTTCCTTCCTTAATTAGGGAGGAATCAATACCATCAGCACTGCTGGAAACAACTGTCAAGAAACAGTTGCCCAACTCTGTGTGACTTGCCACAGCACTGCAACCTTTAGCAAGGAAGGTTATAAAACGAGCAGATCAGATATCAGGTGCCAATGTCTCCTTATCTGTATTTCTCCTAGAATGCTGTATTCCATTGTTTGTGGCTAATTTGGTAGTCTGTTTCCAGTGTTGCTACTGATAGCTTCCTACCCCACGTCCACCAGGCTGAGAAGTTATTTTAGTTAAAGTGCCTTCTGGAATTTTGCTAACCATTTGAAGGTTTTAGTAAGTGAAAATCTAAAAATCAGAGTGGAATACTTGATATTATCATAGGAATCTCATTACCCAGAAGGTTTTTACGTGTGGTTAACTATGAACTAAAAACCATATAGCTCTAGCTGGGCATAGTGGTGTGTGCCTGTAATCCCAGTGGCTTAGGAGGCTGAGGCAGGAGGATCACAAGTTCAAAGCCAGCCTCAGCAACTGCGAGGTGCTAAGCAACTCAGTGAGACCCCGTCTCTAAATAAAATATAAAATAGGGCTGGGGATGTGGCTTAGTGATTGAGTGCCCCTGAGTTTGATCTCGGTACAATGTACCCCGCCCTCCCCACCCCAAAACAAAAAAACATATAGCTCTAGGGGATGGGATGTAGCTCAGTTGCCTAGCATGTGTAAGGCTCTGGTTTTGATCCCCAGAACCATATAAATAAAATAAATAAATACCCTCCAGATATTTGTGTTTTGATTGCTTCTGCTGCCTATCATTATGATTTACTGATATTGAAGGAGATGTGAAAGTGAAAGTGAAGGAATCCTGCAGACTGAATTCCGTTGTTTTCCCTAAACCCAAGGGAATTCTTCTATGTAATCATAGCACAACCAGGACAATTACCATGCAATCAAAAGATTCCATTCAAAATGTTGCCAAACTGTCCCAATAATGTTCTTTATAGGTCCAGAATCCAATTCAGGATCACAACTAGGTCATGTCTCTTTAGTCTCCTTCAATCTGGAACCATTCCCACCTGTGTTTTTGTGTGGCCTTCATGTTTTGGAGAGTATATGTTTTTTGAATTTGAGTTTGTTTTGTTATAACTTTTCTTAGATTAAATTACTCAGTAAATATTTTATCAAAACATTTCTGTTGATACATGTAGATTAATCTTTAATGGTTGCATAATATTCCACTACATGGAGGTACTATATTTGGCAAATCATCTATTAAAGGAGGGATGTTACATTTATTTCCAATTTTCTATGGTATAGACCACATTGCAGTTAGTAGCTCTGACCATTTATCTGAAGTGGAACTTCTAGGCTATAGTATGCAAATTTACAATTTTGATACTGCTGCAATCCTGAAAGATGATACTTATTTATAATTTTGTCAATGATGCACAAGAGTGCCTATTTCCCACACTCCCATCAGAACCAGACATTTTCATTCTTTTTTTTGGAACTGGGGATTGAACCCAGGGGCACTTAACCATTGAGCCACATCTACAGGCCTTTTTATTTTGCGACAGGATCTCAATAAGTTGCTTCGGGCCTTGCTAAATTGCTGAGACTAGCTTTGAACTTGAGATCTTCCTGATTTAACCTCTCAAGCCACTGGGATTACAGGTGGGTGAAACGGCACCCAGCTTTCATTCTTTTTAATCTTGGCCAATCAGGCAAAAAATAATTTATTTGATTATTAATAAGGCTGAGCATCTTAAATATGCTTATTTTGTCTGTTTAGTTTCTTTTGTGTTTATCTTTGCCCACTTTCCTGTTGGATACTTTCTGTTTTTAAGTGAATTTGTCAATTTATTGCTTGGCTTTTAAGTCTTGAAGGACAGATAAATTATGGATTCATTTGAGCTTTGCTACAATATTTGTTGAAACAATTTAACTTTCTCACATAAAATCCTGTTTCCTGTGAAAACATATCAAGAATTAGCCACAAGATAACTGAATATTGGTAGGTCAACTCAGCTGCACATGGATCTCTGGTATATAGCTTTCCACATAGAAGGCAGGTAAAGTATGAGAAGCAATAAGAGCAGAAAACAAAAACACCAGACAATATTTCTCTGTTGTAAAATGTTTCAGTATAGATTTGGGTCAAGACAGAGCATTTCCTCACTAACTTTAATAGTTCCTGTTTTCTTTCTTCCTCCAAAGATATTTTAATGGAATAACAGACATGAAATAAATATTTGTCTAAAGATAGGTCTTAATTATTAAACTTTAATTGCTATTAAAAACCATTATTTAGGCCTGGGGATATAGCTTGATAGTAAAACACTTGCCAAGCATGTTTAAGGATATGGGTTCAATATCTGGCACCACAAACAGCAACAACAAAACCCCCATCATTAATAAAAATAACAATAACAACAATAAAACCCCATCATTTATATTAGGAAAGAGCATTGGTTTTCAGGCTATGTTTTATTTTAGGTTGGCAAGGGAAAACTGAAGCTAGTATTTATGACTTCAGTTAATTTAGGAGTCTTCTTTTTTCCTTAATTGCAAAATATACACAAATAGGAGCAAAGGATACACATGTAGCTATGTCAGCTTTCATTTGGTGCAAAATTCAAACCTCAACTCATACAATTAAATGTGACCGTCAGAAATGTACAATGTTTACTGCATTTGGGCAGATTCCTATGTCAGAAAAATAAAATTAGAAATAAATACATGCTATCCTCACTTAAAAAATTTTTTTTAGTTGTAGATGGATACAATATCTTTATTTTTATTTGTTTATTTTTTATGTGGTGCTGAGGATTGAACCCAGGGCCTCATGCGTGTGAGGCAAGCACTCTACCACTGAGCTACAACCCCAGTCTCCTATATTCACTTTTTAATCAATATAATCTATCAGTTAACCAATCACAGCCAACAGTTACTGAAAGTCAAGTGTAAAGGTGCTCTAGCAGATATAAGAGAAATATAACATGCTTTTAAGGAACACAGAATCTATCAAGAAGAGACAGACATACTTGAGACATTATGGTACAATCCCTGAGAATGCATAATACACCACAATTATATGTGGGACAGCATTTCAGAGAATGGCAAAATCACTACTAATGGACACTGAATAGTTGGGGTGCTAGGGTGGTTACAGTGTGTAGAAAAGTGAGATTTGAATTGGGTCTGAAAGGGTGGTAAGATTTGTCTGGGTGGAGGGAGGATGCTGCAGCTCAGGGAGGGTGTTGAGAGCCACAGCCGAAGGGGCCCCAGCAAACTTCCAGCTGCCACCTGATGATTGGCTCACAGCGGCCCCAGCAACATCTAGCTGATTGGCTCCTCTGCGGTGATGCTCATTGGGCTGTTTCCCTGCCCTTTCAGACCACGGAGCTGCTCATTGGGGGACTTTTTTGGCTCCGCCCACGTGACCCAGCCAATCGGCCTCAAGAGCAGGAGGATTGTGGGAGGTGGAGAGAAGCTTGTGTGGGAGAGAGAGGCTTGTGGAAAGCCGGTGGTGGCAGTTGAGGCTCTGAGGGTTTTTCCTGAGAGGCTGTTTTGTTTGGCGTGTGTGGTTCTAAAAATAAAGTTAGTTTCTTTTGACAAGTGGCTCCTGATTGTGCCCAGCCAGACTGCGGCAGGAGGGGAAGGCACAGAGGTGACATTTTAAGTAGCTAAGTGGAGGAAGACTGATAAGAAAGTGTGCATGCTGAGAGTACTGAGGAGTTGAGGCTGTTCCAACAGATGCTGTGGTAGGCAACGGAAAATTACTGGGGTCTCCAGAGCAGAGATCATTGTGATCCAACTGGTATGTTGTAATGTTCTATTCCATGCCAAGCTATATTGGAGCCTGAAGCAAAAGAAAACTCAATAATCCTGAGGCTGTCTTTATAAAAGATTTTGATGTTTTGTTCAGCATGACTTTTACAATAATTACAATTTTTAAAAATAGTACATTAAAATACTTCTTATCATGCCTGAAGAAAGTGCCTCACTTGCCTTCTCCTATTCCCAGACTTGTTCTCTATTTTTGAAGTTCAGTGGTGAGGACATGGGTATTTATTGCATTATTATTAATTAGAGCTTACTCATTTTTTTTAGAGCTTACTCATATTATCAATATCCTTAGGCAAGTAGACAGTATTTAATAAAAACAATCAAATAATTTAAATTTTAAGAAGATTAATTTAGAACTTTTGAGCCTGAGAAGCAGGAAAAGGAAAATAATCCTTTGTGCTCCTGAGTAAATCTCTAGGGCAGAACAGGTCCCCACTGTTGTAGGGTATGCAATATGCACAGAGAGGGTTATCTTAACCATGTCAATGTAGGCAAACAATAACTGTGGCATCAGACACTATTGTCCATTTCGAGACTGGGCAACTTCCCTGCTGTAGCCAGAGTGAATCTGCCACATTGGCCTGAGGCAAGCCCAATAAATGGGCCACTTGGGTAGGCTTGGCATACCTAAAAATCCATCCAGTCCTGCTCAAAAAGAGGCCACTCACTGGCCCACAGAGCTTACCACAGGGCCATAGTCTAAGAGGCAAGGAAAATTCACCAACTCTATCAATGTCTCAGGGCTTTGTGGGTATGTAGGAAGAGCTGTATTTGTAAAAAGAGTCTCAATCATTAATCATCTTAAAATATGAAATCTATTGTCCATTAGTATATAAGTGACTAATGCAAGATTATTTTTAGCTAAGGAAACCAATTAGATTGCAGCACAAATCTTAAAAGAGGCCAAGGGAAGAACTGAAAAGATGCAGGCAGCTCCTTCTGAGCAACACCAGGGGAGCTTCTTTGTCATTTGATGTGGACCTCCCAGTCACAGCCAATATTCAGTGAAAGCTTCTCCAGGTTCAGGGTGGACGTTTTGGCACAATACATAAAAGCCACAGGCTGATCTTTACCATCTACATAGCAAGACAAAAAAAAAGAGGAAAAGTTTGACATATACTTCGGAGGGAAAAATATATTCTTCAAATCTGACATATTTTCTGACTCTATCATAAAAACTTGCTTAGAAGAATCTAATTTTTGTGTATGTGTATGTGTGGTGCTGGGGACAGTATCTAGGGCCTTGCAGGCAACCTTGCCAGGCAAGCTCTCTACCCTGAGCTACATATCTCGCCTGAAAATCTAATTTAATAGCACTTAATTTTTTTTAGTTATAGGTAGATATAATACCTTTATTTAATTTATTTATATGTGGTGCTGAGGATGGAACCCAATGCCTTACATGTGCTAGGTGAGCACTCTACCACTGAGCCACAACCCCAGCCCTAATAGCACTTTTTTTTTTAAGAGAGAGAGAGAGGAGAGAGAGAGAGAGAATTTTTTAAATATTTATTTTTCAGTTTTCAGTGGACACAACATCTTTATTTTATTTTTATGTGGTGCTGAGGATCGAACCCAGCACACCGCGCATGCCAGGCGAGTGCGTTACCGCTTGAGCCACATTCCCAGCCCCCTAATAGCACTTTTACTCATGAATTTCTATGATTTTTTTTTAAACCATGAAAAACCTTCATTGTTTTGAATACAGCCCTGGTTGAAAAGACAGTTTTACAAAGTGATGTGCCCAAGAAATTCAGTAGGTAAGGAAGGATATAATTCCCATCCTATGCCCCTCCATAAACTCCATCAACATGGGCAGGATTCACCAAGGATTCAGATATCTAGATTTTTTAAAATTTGTTTTTTAGTTGTAGATGGACATAATACCTTTATTTTATTTATTTTTATGTGGTGCTGTAGGTCAAACCCAGTGCCTCACATTTGCTAGGCAAGTGCTCTACCACTGTGCTCCAGCTCCAGCCCCCAGATATCTACAGATTAAAAAAGCATTCAGAAATACCTAAACTTCTAAGTCTAGCCCCAAACAATTTCCCTTAGAAAAAATAAGGCAGGAAGCAAGAAGAAAGACCAGAATGGTCTTACTCACTATAGAGACTAGAATACTTGACCTCCACCAGTAAGTGCAGAGTCCATTTGAGCTAGACTCATGTTAGTTTAGAAACTAAGCATTTCCTCATGGCAGATACTTCCATGTTTACAAAAACAAATGTTGAGGTAAGAATGAACTGTTTCCTCACCAGATGAGTGGGTAGTCACAGAAGATGGCTTCTTCTTGAGGCCTAAGAACAAGATCTGCTCCACCACACATTTGCTGAGATAACGACCCCTCTCATCTGCACAACTGGAATAGATACAAATGGATTTAGGAGAAGAAGGATGGGGATTTGAATTAGTCACAGGTCAAAATCTCTTATGAGTTCCCTTCCATCTGTCCCTATGGAGTCATGATTCATTCAGGGTCATATTGACTATGATGAAGAGATGAAAAAAGATGACTCTATGCCAAGGACTAACAAACCACTGGCCAAATCAATCTCCCTTTAACACCATTTGAGAAAATCACAGAAGTACACAAAAATCACAAATGTAACTGGGATATTGTAACAAATTATAAGAAATCAGGCACTTAATGACTTGGTGGAAGGAATTATAAAAGCCCAAATTGCACTTTTTTTTAGTTTTTAGGTAGTGGGGAATGAAATGAACATTAAAAAAGGAACACTCATGGAAGAGTAACTGAAAAATGTCCCAATTCATTTCTTTAAATAATAACCGAAAACAGCAATGCATTTATTTGAGGATGCCTAAATATAGTATAAGTTATTTAAAAAAAAACACACAGCTTCTTTAGCTGCTATTACCTGTTGATCAAAACACTGGAACAGAATGAAAATTTTCTGTGCAAGAATTGGTTCTGGTGGAGATACTGAAATGAATGGCCATCGTCGAGATATAACTCCCCAACTGCAGAACCCTGTTAAGTGAATCAGGGAACATGTTTTATGTAATAGGAAATTTGTCAGCTTCCAAAGGGACATAATTTTGAAAATGTGAAAACTTACGTCAAACAAAAACTTAGATTTGCTACAGTTTGAATATGGAATGTCCCCAAAGTCCCATGTGTTGGTCCTCAGCCCATGGTGTTATTGAGAGGCACAGGAACATTTAAGAAGTGGGATATAGTGGTGGTCTTCAGATCATTGGGATTGTGCCTTTTGAAGGAGACTGTGGGGACCCCTGGGTGGCTCTGCTCTGCCATGTACTCCCCATCATGATGTGCTACCTCACCCAGGTCCAAAAGCAATGAGGCCAACTGAAATATTTTCCAAAAGTGAGCTAAAATAACCCTTTTATTTTTATAAGTTAATTATCTCAGGTATTTGTTTTAGCGTAGAAAGTTAACTAGCAATATTTAAGCTGCACAAAGTAGTCATACAAATATCTAATATAGTCAATACCCAATCACTCTCAAATAGATAATGAAACAATATGAATAGAGAAGTCACATAAGAGGTGCACGAAGAATTAAACCTTGTTGGAAGAAATTTAAACTATGAAGTATGGTCAGGGGCATCCCTGAAAACACTATCCCAGAATGTGACAACAAGGTCAAGAAGGTTCACAGAATGAAACTGATGTTAAAAAAAAAAATCAGAATATAATGGATGAGGATCAGCTATCTCTAGATCTTGCATTTCGAGAAAGGTATCTGGTGCCTACTCTTTTCGGCAGAAGGGCCCCTTTGCATATCATACAATGTCATAGCACTCCATATGGCAGATTAAGATTATTGGCAATACTTGATGTGCAATGGATCTCTAGTATTTTGCATTTATTCTGGGATTTCACATGGGTCCCAAATCCCTAGTTTGGCCCACAAAGACATGCCTAAATGAAACAGAAAAGAAAGCTATAACTTAATTATTTTACAATGCTAATATAAATAAGGGTAAGTATTATTATAATACGAGTAAAAATTTATATTTGGCCCTATATTTTGGCACATGGCCAGGAGAGAAGTCTGATACAGGTTTCATATGGCTTAAAAGATCTTCTCAAAAGGACAAATCAGATCTCGATCCTACCAGGCTTTACTCAGGGAGATTTCAGTTGTTTGAGTTACCTGATGAGAAGTCATTTAGTGGGGTTGGGGTCCCTGAAATGGTCCATAGTCACAGGTACCCTTCTGTGAGAGAATGAGTTTCAGAGCTAATACACAGCCTATGATCTAATGAGCTTTTAGCCCAGCAGTAATCACTGCTCAGCTAAAAAGAACCAACAGTCAACTGTTCAAGAAAGACATTTTCCTCTTTCCCCAAGTTCTTTTAAGACAATTCCAAGAACGGCAGACTAACTAGGCAATAATTCAGAAATTATTTAAAACTTTGATTTCTAGATAAACACTAGAAGTACCTATCTCCATAGGTGGGGCTCACCACTTTTTCATGCTATCAGACTTTTTGAAAGACTATAAAGAGACACAGAAGTAATAGAAAGTATAACCTGTTTTCCCAAATACCTCAGTGCTGACAGCAACCCGGAGTCCAAATGAGGAATTAGTCATCCAGCCTGTGGATTTTCCTATAGTTGTCTTTATTGGTACCACACTTCCACTGCGTTGAAATACTGGTATCTACAGCAGAGCAACAATATCAGGAAAGGTATTTGTATAAATATGTTCTTTACTTCTTGTTGCCTACTGCGAATTAGGCAACAAGAAGTAAAGATAAAATAAAAGTATTTGTATAAAGAAATTTCAAAGTAGAATTTAAAAATATTTCATTATATAAGATTCCACTCTTTACAAGTATAGACTCTAGGGCAAGATAAATTTGTGGGCACAGAGGTAGTATATTTGGGGATCCTGGCATTAAAAGGAAAGAGCACAACAACAAAAAAATGGTTCACTTTCCAATTACTAGGGAAGCTGACTACCCTTCATTAATTTATCACATATACTTGTTTTTGCTGCTTTTTCTTTTTCTTTTCTTGTTTTCTTTGCAGATTGGGAACTGAATCCATGGTCCTGCATATGAAGGCAAGTGCTCTACCACTGAGCTTCATCCTTAGCCCTTTGTGGGACAGTCTTGCTAAGTTGTCCAGGCTGGCCTGGAACCTGTGATTCAGCCTCCTATGTAGCTAGGATTACAGGTGTGCACTAACATGTCCAGCTACTGTTTTTTCTTTTAAATGATGAATTTTATTTTGCACACTCTATAACTGGCCTTTCCTATGTTGTAGTTTAACATTCTCATAAATTATAATAAACATGTTTACTTCTAGAGCCTTGCTAAAGACTTAATTTTTCTAAGTGGTGTATGTATGTATATGTAAAGTATTTCTTGGTTTGGGAGATGACTTTTGCTCTTTATCACTGCACCAGAATACTTTTTGCTCTCTGTTTCTCTGGATCACCAGAATGACTGACTTAATTCTGAGGGTAGATTTGTGAAACTGCTTCTGTTATAGCTGGGCATGGTGGTGCAAACCTGTAATCCCAGAGGCCCAGGAGGCTGAGGCAGGAGGATTACAAGCCTGAGGCCAGCCTCAGCATCTGAGCAAGGCCCTCACCAATTTAGGGAGACCCTATTCAAAAAAATAAAAAGGGCTGAGCATGTGGCTCAGTGAGTACCTCTGGGTTCAATCCCCAGTACCGCCCCCCCCCCCAAAAAAAGAAAAAAAACCCTCAACCACCACCAAAAAAGCAACCCCCCCCCCAAACTGCTTTTCTTATACATATCATCAAGGGTAATTTAAGTGACTCTAACAACATCATGTGGGCATGGCCCTCAGCTCTCAATCTTCTGGAATGCCACTTGGCAGGGAAAGCCTGGTAAGAATCACATGAGGACTTGTACTTTGCTGTGGTAAAGTGTTAGCAAGGAGAAGAGTAGAAGAACATATATGAAGTTGATAGTGAGGATGAAGTAGTTAAAATGTCCCCCATACCTAATTCGCAGTAGGCAACAAGAAGTAAAGAACATCTTATTCCTCCCCACATCTCCCTCTCTAATTGGACAATCTCTCTGTTCTGTTTTTCTTCATTTTTTTTTTTGGCTTGTTTGTTTGTTTTTAAGAGCACAGTGTTAAGTTAAAGTGGAATGGGCTCTAGATGAGGAATCAGCAGACTTGGGAGCTTGTCTCATTTCTCCCACAATCCAGCTGTCATCCTGGACAGATAAGTTACCTGTAAGTGTAAGGTATTTAAGTAGATGATTATTAAGGTTTTTCTCTAGATCTGAAAGTTAATATCCAAAATAACTTTCTTTGTTTTTAATACCTTTATTTTATTTATTTATTTTTATATGGTGCTGAGGATCAAACCCAGTGCCTCACATGTACAAGGCAAGTATTCCATCACTAAGCCACCACCCAGCCCCTGAAATTATATTCTTTAAAAAAAAAATCACTGCTGATAATTAAAAAAAATCACATCACTGCCTATTTATCAATCTTCACTCTACTCAGGGACTATGGTAGTGCTTATGATTTAGCTACAGGAAGGAACTTCCCTTTGGAAACTCAAAACAGCCTGGATAGGCAGGCCCCTTTGATGCTAACATCATACTGATATTACTCCCTTGGGCTGAGAGGCCCAGGATCATGCCTGAAAATTCATGTTTTTAACTTAGTCTTGTAGAAGGATATTCTATATGGCATGCATTATAATCACTGCATTTTCTGTTTTTAGTATTACTTTTCTTAGACACACAAATGTAAACATATGGGTAAGAGTTGGTTTTATCCCTGATATTTCATACCATGAAATCTGAGTATATATATTTTAAGACATTTTTCTTCACATTTTAACAGCATTATTGATATAATCATATATATTTCACATTTAGAGTATACAGTTAAACAGGCTTCAGTATATTGGTCTTGCAACCCTCACCACTATTGATTTTAGAATATTCTGATACCCAAAAAAGAAATCTGTACCAAGTAGCAGTCACTCTTCATCATACCCCAATTCCTTGCCCTGCCCCAGCCCTAAGCAACTACTTACTAATCTACTTTCTGTTTCTATATATATATATATATATATATATATATATTATTATGCAGAACACTAACATTCTTGGTTTTATGATACCGGCACACAATATAGACTGAAGGTCAGTATCCCCCTAAAATTCATTTGTTGAAGTCCAGTCCCCAAGGTGATTATATTTGGAGATAGGACCTCTTTGGAGATGATTATGTAAAATGAGATCACAGTGGTGAGGCCCTGATATGATAGGAACAGTGTCTTTATAAGAAGAGACAGGAAGGGGTTAGGGCTGGGGCTCAGTGGTAGAGTACTTGCCTAGCACATGTGAACCACTGGCTCGGATCCTCAGTACCACACAAAAATAAAGGTACTGGGTCCATCTATAACTAGAAATATATTTTTTTAAAAAAAGGAGAGACAGAAAGAAGTGCCTCATTAGGAACTGCATCAACTGGCATTCTCATCTGATCTGGAAATAGAAATTTCACAATTGTGAGGAAATTAATTTCTGCTGTTTAAGCCACCAAGTTGGTGGTATTTTGTCACAGCAATCAGAGCAGACAAATACAATACAGGTAGAAATAATAGTCTGAAAATAACTTACAGTATTCAAGGCAACTGGAATCTTCACGGTACATCCTCCTCTCCAATGAGCAAATGTCTTAGAGTGATACCAGATCTAAAACAGACCCCAGTGAGAAAGAGTTTATGAGCAACTCTGCTCACAACTTACTCATTACAATATTCACTTAACTGCATTTCAAATAACCAGAAACTAAAATAAATGGAGATAAGTGGGGGTTTTTTTGTTTGTTTTTGTTTCATTGTGGTATGGGGAAGTATTTTTTAAATTATTTATTTATTTGGGAGGGTACTGGGGATTGAACCCAAAAGTGCTTTACCACTGAGCTACATTTCCAGCCCTTTTTTTTTTTTTTAAATCTTGGGTAGAAGTTAGGAAGAATATATGTTTTTAAGAAGATCTGAAAGAGTGGGACTTGATGGCTCATGGTTATGATCATAGCTATTCAGGCAGCTGAGGCAGAACAAGTTCAAGTTTGACGCCAAGACGAGCTACTCAGTATAACTCTGACTCAAAATAAAATAAAAAGGACTGAGGATATAGCTCAGAGGCAGATGCTTGCCAAGCACATCCACGGACCTGGAATTGATCTCTAACATGAAAGCGAAGGAAGGAAGGAAGGAAGGAAGGAAGGAAGGAAGGAAGGAAGGAAGGAGCAAATCTCAAGGGACTATGACTAATTAATTTAATAAAGGTCATTTGTTTGCCCATCTGTACATTCAAAAGTAATTACACCTGTAATCCCAGAAGCTCAGGAGGCTGAGACAGGAGGATCATAGTTCAAAGCCAGCCTCAGCAACAGCGAGGTACTAAGTAACTCAGTGAGAACCTGTCTCCAAGTAAAATTCAAAATAGGGCTGGGGATGAGGCTCAGTGGTTGAGTTTCCCTGAGTTCAATCTCTGGTACCAAAAGAAAAAAGTTATTTGCTAAACAACATAACCACTATGCCAGGTGCCCGACATACATGATAATTAAGATGTCTAATGAGTGAAAAGGCAGTCCTTGACCTCCTGGGTTTTATAGCCCACTTGGCTTATAAAAACTTAGTGCTTCTAGCAGTGAATGAGATGACAAAATAGAAAAAATAACCAAAATAAAGAAAAGCACGTTGCAGGTAAAGAGATTGCAAATGAGGCAGCAGAAAAGGAAAATACCAGAGAAAGAATAGATCTGAGACAAAAACAAATTGAAACATGGATTACTAATATGGTATCACTTTTTAACACAGTATAATTCAGAGCTAAGGTTCTAATTCTTATGTAAGGTCTCTATCAAGAGGGAGCCAGTTGCTGAAGTATCAAAAAGAGCCTATAAAGTAATTTGATGGAATAAACCCTTAAGATATCATTAGAAGGAGCATGAAAACAAAAACCTTATTTTATCTCTTTTAGCCAGTATACTTTCTGGCAGCCAGTGTTGCAAGTTCACCTTGTGGGATTACCACATCCTTTATATAGCACAGTTGTTGAGTCTGTTACCATCCTGTTGTGAAGGTGACAGAACTGTGATTTGACCATCATTAGCAATAGTGAATGCTTTTATTTTGGGGGGTTGGGGGGATTACTGGGGACTAAATCCAGGGATGCTTAACCACAGAGTCACATCCCCAGTCCCTTTTATTTTTTTTAAATTTTGAGACAGGGTCTTAATAAGTTGCTTAGGATCTCGCTAAGTTGCTGAGGCTGGCTTTGAACTTGCAATCCTCCTACCTCAGCTCCTGAGCTACTAAAATTATAGGCATGTGCCACTGTGCCCAGCTGCCACAGTGAACTCTTAATTCAACAGGGTCAAACCTATTGCAGTCATGATATATTATTCTTGATTGGATTCAATTTATTAATATTTTGTCAAGGATTTTTGAGTCTGTGTTTGTAAGAACATTAGCTTGTTTTCTTTATGTTTCTTTTATATGTCATTCTCTGGCTTTCTCTCTCTCCTCTCTAGCTAATCCCAGTAGCTTCAGATAAAGAATTGGTGGGGATAAAAGGTAAACTGATTCAAACAAGGTTTGAGCATTGTCTTGTCTACCACCATAACTGATTAAAATGAGAGATAACAAGGTTTGTGCTTTGGTGCCATATCCAAAGATCTCCAATTTAGGAAGGGTATAACCAGTATAAAATTCCACAAAGGACCAAACCCAGAACTCAGTCCCAGGTTCCTAAGTAAGTTCTTGCTGAGTGCCAACTATATACCAGGTATCCACTTAGTTGCTGGGGATGCAATAGTAAACCTAACGGATGAAAACCACTGCCTTCAAGGAGCTCACATTACAATAGGAGAGGTACATAATAAGTAAATAAGTAAATATACAGAATGTTAGATGGTGGCAAGTCCTGTGAAGAAAGAGAAAGGCTGGAGAGGCCTAGGGAGCACCAGGAGCAATGAGAGAAGTCTATAAACTTAAACAGGTGGTCAGAGACAGCTTTGCTGATGAGATATTTGAGCCCAGACTTGGAGGAGAGGAGATGGGCCCCATATAAATATGGGTAAGAGTGACAGTGTGAACTTCAGACAGCCTGCTCATTTAGTGTGAAGTGTACTGGCCAGCCAGTCAAGATAAAGAAGCAGGTCTGGAAAGAATTTTTTTGGCTTTTTTACCCAGCATTTGTGACGATGTTGCAAGAGAAACAATCACAGAACACTCTGATAAAAAATGAAGGAATATAGTTCAAAGTCACAACAATGTGTTTGCAATGATGAATCATTAGTAAAAATTCTTGGCTAAGTTAGAAAGGGAGCAGTTTCTTTTAACAGATGCCTACTGCTTTGTTAGAATAAACTTGAAAAATTCTCATCAGACATGCTCAGCAGGACCATTTATTTAGCTGTTGCTGTATTTAATGTTTTCCTCAGGTTTCTACTTGGCAAGGGAATCTTTGTAAAGATCCCTCAACTTCAGATATTCAAATTACTGGAGAAACCAAGAGGAAAGACTACAGTTCATAAACATTCTGGAGAAAAACCTGGTTAGTCATATCAATAATAAAAAGTGTAGGTAGCTGAATGGTGGCCACTGAAAAAGAGTCTCTTGACATGGTAGTCCCAGTCCAGCCCAGCACGCTGCATGGCTCTTTCCTCTGTGTGCTGAAGCCTGGGGTGAAGCTCTAGTTCCTGAGGACTCTCCCTAGTCTGTCTCCTTTCTGCTCTTCATTCCACACCCTCTTTCCCTAGACTGGGGCACCAAGTCTCTGTGGTCTCTGCTCTGCAGAAAAAGGGTTGTCCCTGCCTCACCTTTGTGCTCTGCCTAAGTTCACTGCCCTGGGCTCTGGTAGGCCGGGACAGTTCATATAGTAATAATAACAAATGACAATAACTAATAAGATAGCTAAGGAAGGTAGAGATGATAGAGGGAAGTCATTATTGATCTTGATCAATTTGGTGAGTACTGGAGACAATTTTTGGTACCAAAATTTAGGATTCAAAGGGAGCCAGAATCAAAAAAGCAAAGTTTCTTTTTTTTTTTTTCTTTTTTGGTACTGGGGATTGAACTCAGGGGCACTCGACCACTGAGCCATATTCCAAGTTCTATTTTGTATTTTATTTAGTGACAGGGTTTCACTGAGTTGCTTAGCACCTCGCCATTGCTGAGGCTCGCTTTGAACTTGCAATCCTCCTGTCTCAGCCTCCCGAGCCACTGGGATTACAGGCGTGCGCCACCGTGCCTGGCATAAAGAGCAAAGTTTCTTTATACTTAAGTTTCCCACCAGAGTCTGATACCTCATAGTAGACAAAAGATTTTTTTCTTACCCTACCCTCAGTGTGTTTAAGAACTCACTTAAGCAAGTCAGTGTGAAGATGAATTCTGATCCTTCTTGGGGCCATCACCTATTCATTTTTCTATCACCTGGCCTCCATTAATTTCTTAGCCTAAGTGGACAGTGTCATGATTTTTAAAAATCATCAGTTATGGCTGGGGTTGTGGCTCAGTGGTAGTGTGCTCGCCTAGCATGTGTGAGGCACTGGGTTCGATTCTCAGCACCACATAAAAATAAAGACAATAAAGTCCATCAACAACTAAAAAAAAATCTAAAAAAAATCATCAGTTATTACAGTCATTTGGTGTGTGTTCACCAAAGCATTATGGAGAAATTTAGTTGCTTAAAGAAACAAAGGGATGAGAGAGACGAGACTTGAGATATGTGACTAATTGTTATTAGTCTTACCTCATTTGATCTTGGCAGAAATACATCAACCATGGTGGTTTTTGGTTCTGTGACTGGATGAACCAATAAAGCACTTCCTTAAGAATGGAGAAGAAATAAAATTTAGTGTCATTACGAGAATTCTTTTCCTTTAATTGAACAGTATTGTGGTTTTTATTTTGTTTTGTTTTGGTATGGGGCTTGAAAACAGGGGTTCTTCACCACTGACCTACATCTCCAGCCCTTTTCATTTTTTTTTTCTTTTGAGACAGGTCTTGCTAAATTGCTTAGGGCTTGGCTAAATTTCTGAGGCTGGCCTACAACTTGCAAATCTCCTGTCTCAGCCTCCTGAGTAGCTGGGATTACAGGTTATGGGCCACAATGCCTGGCAAAAAACTACTAGACTGTAAACTTCTATAAGGCAGAGACTGTGGTGAGTTAAACCAATGATTCATCAGAGAGATGCATTGTTAGAAAGAGGACAGGGGCTCAAATAGGTGACTGTTATTACCCATCATTAATCCATATATGGAATATCAGGATTACAGGAAGGAACCCTGACACAATTTACTACAGTATCATTTTGTGCTTAACTTCTGGTGCACCAATAATCTGAAAGCACCACTGCATCTCTCCATGGCTTTACTGTTTTCTTTGAGTGATGCTGATGATAGTGAGTCCACAACTGTTATCCAGAATTGTGTCACTGTGGCTACTCAGGTTCTTTTGCTTGGGCAGTTATCATTGGGAAGGCTGTAGATGGCAAGAATTATTAAATTTTCTTTGATCTTGCCACCATGCAGGTAAAAATTCATCATTTGTAAATTCTTTTATTCAATAAATACTGATTGCCAGGCATGTTGATAGGCTCTGGGGATAGAGTGGCAGATAAAACAAGCATGATCCCTGCTTTCATGGAGCTTATAGTAAATGAAGACAGATATTAAAAAGTAATTGAAAGATAGAGTTAAGACAAATACCAAAAAAAGCAAAAGTACAAAGCAGAAGTTTTTTTTTAATGCGACAGATTGACTTTGATGGAGGAGAACAGTCTAAGGTATAAGAAGGCAAGGAGTGGTCAGGGAGGTTTCTCCAAGGCAGTGATTATTGAGACCTAATGTTAAGGGATTGAACCTAGGAATTTGAACATGCCATCTGAGTGCTCTGCCACTGAGCTACATTCCCAGACCAAGGACTCTATTTTTTTAAATATTTTTTTTTTAGTTGTTAATGGACCTTTATTTTGTTTATATGTGGTGCTGAGAATCGAACCCAGTGCCTCGCACATGCCAGGTAAGCCCTCTACCACTAAGCCCCAGCCCCAGCCCAATGACTCTATTATTTAACACTGGAGGTTTCCATTGTTTGGCATGTGGTTACCTTTTGGGCAACTCAATGTTTAGACTGGCTTTTTGAGCTTTGTCTCTAAGATAATAAACTTCCATGTTCTAGAATTGATGGTTAATCCTTGATAAAGAGGCCTATTACTGTATATGAAATAAACTCTTCTGGTTCTTTACTATATCTGTATGATTTACTTTTTGCCTACTTCCTTCCCTGTAGTGGTCTCAATAGGCTTAGAAGAGTGAACACAAAACAAAAGTTTAAACTATACCTACAAATAGAATGGATTTATTTGATGTTGGTAAGAATAATACTGTGAGTGCTAGAATTACAACAGACTAGATCTGCAATCCCACTAATGCATTAAAAATCTTGATGAAGGAATTTATTTTAATTTTTTTAGTTTCATTGGGATTAGAATTTTAAAAAGTGCTCTCATAGTAGAAAATTTAATAAAAACATAATTATAGTGTTTGTAATTAATAAATGCTCACCCAGCATGTATTCATCTTCCACACCAAAAGTCTCTAATTCATCTGGGAATTCTATCCACAGAGGCCTGGGAAAGTGAAAAGAACGTTCATTACATTTTAATGTAATTATATGTTTTTTAAGAATTTTATATTTTTAGTTTAAAAACTATTCAAAGGAAACTGGAAAGCACTAAAGTATCAAGATTCTTTTTCATACATCTCAAGTTTTTATGAGCAATTGCTGTGATTACTTTACATTTTTATTATGTAAAAATGTTCTAAAGAAATATTGAGAATTCTAGTACCTGCCACTTTTCCTTCTGATTGTTGAGCACTAAACACTACTCTAATGGGCAGAGTCAGAGCTTTATGCAAGTCCAAATGCCTAACATCTTTGGATATGATTTTACAATGATGATAATTCTGTGCTTTTTTAAAAAACATTTTTTAGTTGCAGATGAACACAATACCTTTGTTTATTTATTTTATTTGGTGCTGACGATGGAACTCAGTGCCTCACACATGTAAGACAAGTGCTTTACCGCTGAGCCACAACCCAGCCCCTCTGTGCTGTTTTATTTTTTGTGTTTGCTGCTTTCATGCATCACTTAATCACTATATCTTTGAGAAGAACTGATGTTTCTTGTTTTCAAGCTGGCATTATTTTTTTGGGTGTGGGGTTAAGAAATTTTGAGTATTCTTTTTTGCTTGTTATTGTTTTGTGTAACTAGGATGTATTTGGGTTCATAAACAATAAAACTGTCAGTATATATCTACCTGGATATCAACTTAATGGTTCTAGTCATTTTTCAATTACATGAGGAAAGAATATCTTCTAATAAGCAAAATTTATTTTTAGTTTATTCACCAGCCTTTGTAATAACATATTTCTTTCCTACAGAACAAAACAACAGTATACCTGGGTGATATCTAGAACCTAAAAGGGAAACTTCTAACAAATATAGATTCTTGAAACCTACCCAAAGAGATTCCTAGAAAATTTTGGAGGTATAGCTTTTAAAATCTATAGTGGAAAGCTCCCCAGGTGATATTGATTTCATCTAAATTTAGGAACTTCTGATCCTGAAGTCTTGGTGAATTGTGTATGCTGGTATGTATCATTCCCTAATCTAGAAAGTTTTTTCTTAATATTTTGCCTTCAAAATAGAGTTAAAATTTATAAACAAATGCTCACCTCAAACTTGGAACAGTTTAGTCCTAAGAGTAAGATAAAGGAAAGCCTAAGGCTGGCAGGTAAGTTATTCTTTCTGAAAAGATGCTACTGTCAAATAATGGATTCTTTCAGTCACTTCTTTATTCTTTGAGATATCTCTATTTTTGCCTCTCACCTAGCATGTACATTTAATCACAGTAGTAGGGGGTCTAGTTTTTTTAATCTGTCTTCGACAGCCAGAATCACGTGCATAATTGGTAGTCAAGAAGCTCACTGGAACTTGATTAAACGTGAGGCTTTTCTTCACTTTTTCTTTTAAAATCACTGCACAATTAGTCCAGTCCCTAATCACTGTGAGAGAATTAGGCTGTTGCAGTCCCTGAATGGATGATGCATTTTTACCTCATGACAGGTTCAGAAGCCACATGTGCATGGTAGAATAGAGAATACAAATAGGGTAGGAGGGTATAGCGTTCTCTGATGGCTTCTCGGATAAGTTTGGTGTATTCCTCCCCAAAAAGCCAGGGTTCCCGCCGCTTGGTGTTCATGTTAGCATGGCCACGGAAGAAGGGTTGGTAGGCTCCCGCCTGGTACCAACGCACCAGCAGTTCTGCATCTGGATTCCCAATGAAGCCACCCACATCAGCTGGTTAGGAAAGAAAGGCCAAGTAAGGCAACCAGACTTCAAATAAATGATGTACAGGGTAAGATAAGGTCTTGATGACTGTCCAGAAAAAGGAAACATATGTGCATTCAAAACTATGACCTCAAAAAGGGGAGCACATTATATAAAACGGCCTCTCTGGAGATCTGACAAAACACTCTTTGAACACTGTCTTCTTGTTAAAAGACCAGAAGATTATTCCAAAATCAATACTCCTATATGTTCCTGAACTCATATTACCTAGAAATCATAAAATGTTGACTTGATTTATTGTTATGTGTGTGTAATGGAAGGAAGGAGCTGGTAACCAATTTCCTTTGGAAGCAACAGGAAAACCAAGATAAAAAATAAAGAACTAAAGAGAAGTAAATAATCAGAATTAGAAGTTTAAAGCTGGGTGTGATGGCATACGCCTGAAATCCCAGTGGCTTAGGAGGCTGAGGCAGGAGGACTGCGAGTTCAAAGCCAGCCTCAGCAAAAGCTAGGCGCTAAGCAACTCAGTGAGACCCTGCCTCTAAATAAAATACAAAATAGAGCTGGGGATGTGGCTCAGTGGTTGAGTACCCCAGAGTTCAATCCCCAGTATATAAAAAAAAAAAGTTTGGGTAGAATTTCATGCTGAGTCCTAGAGTAGGATATGTATTTCTTGTACTATATGTGGACCAATACCAAAAACTATCAATATAAAAATGTAATATTAACTTGTTTCTATTTCTGCAGAAAACAAGGAAAAACTGGAACTGCAGTCACATTGAGCAACTTTTAACCTTATCCACAGAGAATTCTCAGGATGCAAGGAAGGTACACTATCAGACACACTTATTTTAATTAAATTTATCTTTCTCAAGAGCATATCTTTTTAAAAAACACAGTTAAAATATGTCATGGAATTTAAAATCTGCTAAGAATGTATTTCTCTATTTCCTCCTTCTTATTATTGTTATTTTTTAGCAGTACTGAAAAATTGTACCTAGAGTCTTGCACATGTTAGGTGAGAACTGTACCACTGATATATCTCTGCCCCACACTATTTTTTTAAAAAAATATTTTTAGTTGTAGATGGACACAATACCTTTATTTTGTTTATTTAGTTTTTTAATGTGGTGCTGGGGATTGAACCCAGTGCCTCACATGTGCTAGGCAAGTGCTCTACCACTGAGCTACAACCCCAGCCCCCACACTAACTTCTGATTCACTAAATTCTTTGTAATTCTCTCTATTTTTTTCACTTAATTTTTTTTTTTTTGGTAATTGTAGATGGGCAAAATACCTTTATTTTATTTATTTTTATGTGATGCTAAGGATCCAACCCAGTGCCTCACACATGCTAGGCAAGAGCTCTGCTACTGAGCTATGGCCCCACCCATACTTTTTTCACATGCTGCATCTAAAAAGGAAGTGATGAAAGAATGAGGAAAAGAAGTACTCTTTGGTGCTTCCCTTTTCTCCTTCTGAGAAATTGATTCTCTGTCTTAAATTTGGACAATATACAAGAAGTTCTGAAGCATCCTGCTTTCACTTTTCTCTCTAATCTGCTCCCCTTCACTTTCTCCTGTTTTCTCTTTCCCATATTTATCCCAGCCCAAAATAGCTAAGGAGAAGGGTTTTATGACCAGCTTTGAAGAAACATCTCATTTTTCATTATCTCTCACTTTAAGCTCCAAGACAGAACTCATCTTACCTCCACAAAAAGAGATCCCAGTAATGCTGAGAGTTAGTAACATGGGGATAGAAATTTTCAGGTAACTCCATTCTGCTGTGTTGTCACCAGTCCACACTGCACCTTTGATCACCAGTAGGAAAGTATTAAAAAAAAATCACAAGTCAGTTCATGTTCTTAATTTCATATTTAGAGTCCTGATTATTTACTTATGTATTTATTTGGTACCAGGGATTGAACCCATATGTTAATGCTTAATCACTGAGTCACATCCCCAGCCCTTTTTAGTTTTATTTTGAGACAGGGTTTCACTAAGTTGCTTTAGCCTCACTAAATTGTTGAGGCTAACCTTGAACTTGTGACCCTCCTGCCTTAGCTTCCCAAGTCTTGGGAATTATAGGTGTGTGACACCATGCCTGGCTTAGAGCCTTGATTTTTAAGACAAGCTACTAAAAAGGAAAATAGATTTCTTACCTAAAAGTAAATAATTGGTTTATACAGGAAAATGTATTAATTTTCTAATATAAAAATTTATTAAACTCCATAAAACATTCTATGAAAATATTCTGAAATTATGCATAATTTTGAATTTTTTTTTTGTGGTACTGGGAATTAGAACCCAGGGCCTTGTGCATGCAAGGCAAGCACTCTACCAACTGAGGTATATCCCCAGTCTTATAATTCTTTTTATGAGAGCATTACAGTTATACATAATAGTTGGGTTCATTTTGACAAAATCATACATGCACAGATTTTGATTTACTCTAAGTCCTGGAAGCTCCCCTTTCTCAAACTCCCTCCCCTAGATTCCTTCCTCTACTCTACTAATTTCCCTTTTGCTTGTTTGTTTATTTTTCATTGGTGCTTTATACATAGTATATAAAGAAAGATAGAATGCACTGTGGTATATTTACACATGCACATAGTGTGATTTTGTTAAAATTCATTCCTATTTCCTTCCCTTTCTCATCCTTCACCCCCCATCTCCTTTTATCCCATTGTTCTTTCCTTTATCTTTATGATATCCAATCCCCCTTTCCCCACATTTTGCACTAGTTTCCGTGAAGTATAATTCAAATATGATTATAGGAGGAATATTTTTTAAAATAAATTTTATTGAGATGTCATTTACATACAATAAATGTATCTGTTTTAAGTGAAGAGTTTAATGCTTGTAACCACCACCATAAGCAAGACATAGAACATTTCCATAACTAGTGAAGTTCCCATGGGTTTCTTAGCAGTCAACAAATACCCACTTTAGGCAACTTACTCATGTGATTTCTATGGTTATAGATCAGTCTTTTCTGGAATTTTCATACAATGGAAACATAATATATACCATATTATATTTTAACATTTTTTTTTTACTCAGCATAACGTAGTTTACTATTTTTTTATTTTCTGGGTAGCATTCCATGATATGGAACATATCACAAGTTATTTATCTATTTATCTATTGATGAATATATAGATTCTTTCCAGATTTGAGCTATTATAAATAAAGATACCATAAATATCTTTGTGTAAATCTCTGTGTGATATGTTTTTATTTATCTCTGGATAAATACCTGGGGATAAAATTGTTGGGTCTTATGTTCAGCATATGTTAAACACTTCAAGATAATTCCAAGCCTTTTAGGAAGGGTTGTACCACTTTAGATTCTCATAGCAATATATGAGAGTACCAGTATTTTTAATTCTAGTCACTCTAAGGAACATATAGTGGTATCTTTCTTTTGTTCTATTTTATTTTATTTATTTTTTTATATTTTCCGTTTTTTATTGGCACATTATAGTTGTACATAATCATGGGATGTTGTTATATATTCTTACATGCACACAGTAAAAAAATATAATTGGCTAATCATTCCCCAGTATTTCTCTATTTCTCCTTTCTCTCACCTACCCCATCCTCTACTTTACTGATCTCCCTTTTTTGTTTTAATTTATATGTCCCTAATAACTGATTATTTCTTCATGGGTTTACTGATCATTCTATGTCTTCTTCTGTAAAGTATCTATTCCTCACATCTTTTGTTCTTCTGTTTTGTTTTTGTCATTGAGATGGGGTCTTACTATGTTGCCCAGGATGGCCTTGAACTCCTGGGCTCAAGAGATCCTCCTGTCCCAGGCTCCCAAATAGCTGACACAACAGGTGTGCATGAGTGTACCTGGTCTCCTTCCTAATTTTTAAAATATGTTGTATGTCTTATTATTGAGTTGTAAAAATTATTTACAACTGTAAGGGTTGTGGTTACAGTTGTAACCCATATATATCTAGTTGTTTTAGAAACATTAATTGAAAAATACGGCAACTTTATACTTTGCATGGATTATCATCCCACTTAATCATCCCCAAAACCAATAATAATAATATTATTAATAATAATATTATATAATAATATAATATATAATAATTATAATAATATTAATAATATTATTAACTCCATTTACAAATGAAGGAACTATGACAAACAGTGGATTCCTAATCTACCCATAGTCACATAGTCATTAATTAGATTTAAGGCAGGATTTGAGTCCAGGCAGTCCAACTCCAAAGCCAGTGTTCTTTATCATTGCACAGTTGTAAGAGTTTCTAAAGACAGATTACATACTACTAAAGAGATTCATAAAAGGAAAAAAATCTTATTTTACTACATCTACATTACTACTGAAGCATTTTTGTCTATCTTCTACCAAAAATAGTTCTAACAGATATTTTTGATTTTATTTCTCATACAAATTTTGAATTTTCCTTCAGTCAACAATGAAAAATATTTTCAAGGGATTGCCCTTTGTAAATAGTATTTAATAAGTTTTCCTTAATTTCAAGTAAAATATGTATATATTTACATAATGATTTTGAAATTTTGTCAAAAAAGCTCATCATAATAAACATGCAAATATTTTCATGGCTCATATGGTTGTTTAGACAGAACTTCTTCCTGGCTATTGATTTCAGCATTTGACTGAACAAAATATATTTCCTGTAAAGCCCTGCTACATACTGGGGCAAAGTTGATTAAGTTGGGGTCTTGCTATGTTGCCCAGGCTGGCCTTGAACTCTGGGCTCAAGAGATCCTCCTGCCTCAGACTAGAAAGTGGGTCAACATTTACAAGATCAAAGAAAATTTAGGGGCTGGGATTGTGGCTCAGTGGTAGAATGCTCGCCTACCATGTTTGAGTTACTGGGTTCGATCCTTAGCACCACATAAAATGTAAAATAAAAATATATGTCCACCTAAAACTAAAAAATAGATATTTAAAAAAAGAAAATTTAGTATTTATGTTTCCTCTTATTTTTTTAAACTGGTGTTTATAAATTTTTTCATTAAATACACATTTTTAGTGATGAAAAGTGATACTTGTAGAGAATTTGGAAAATAAGGATAAAGAAGAAAATTAAAATCACTCCAATCACCTAAGGTACTAAATTTTCTTGTATCTTATCTGACTATCTACCAACTTATAGATTAAATTGCTATCTTATATTTTATAAAATTGGGATAATATGGAAATATTTAGGCATTCTTTTCTATTTTTCCTTTAACATGATGTCACAAACATTTTCTTATGCAGTTAAAGCTACCATTTTAAATAGCCTCATGATAGTCTGCCACATGGACACAACTTACTTTTATAACTATTCTGGAAACAAACAAAAAACTCTATGTAACAATAGAGAATAGTGCTGTGGTGATCATCTCTATACGTGAATCTCTGCCTGAGATGATAATATCTTGGTCTTTGGTTGAGTACCACTGAGGTTGGTTTTCAGGGGTCTAGTGGGAGAACTAATAATGTCTGCAATACAGTAAGAGTTGGGTTTTTGAAATTAGGACCTAAGTTTTCAGTTGTTTATGCAAGAAAAAGGGTCTTAAAATAGCCTTCCTATGCCAGGGTGGTTAAGTTAAATTAGATCTGCATTAGCTAGTAAACCAGATCCAGTTATAGATGACCTTGACCACAAGCAACAGCCAAGTCTATTTTAAGTCATATTGCTAAGTGGAACAGAACAGGTGATGGAATGAATATGTTAGAAGCATATTTCCTGGTTTCAATAAATCAAAGAGACAGGATTGAGGATCACCATGTCAACAAACTAAATATGGTAAAGTCAGTCTCCTATCAATAAGTGGCCATTTTTTTTTCAGTTGGAAACAAGTGTTAAACTTGATTAAAATTGGCTTACTCTATTTTATAGTATAAAATGCATACTTCAGAGTAGATCACTCTGTACAATCAAAGGTCTGAGCAACAGCTATTGAAAAGGAACACAGAGGCAGCAGATGCCAGAAACAGTCAAAAAGGACAGGTGGTTAATTTGTATTTTTCAGTCTAACACAAGCCATTCCTTACCATACTTTTGTGACCCAGCGAAGAAAGAACGTGAAAGAACAAAGGGTCTCTCCTTCCCTTTAGATCGCTGTATCAGTCCCTCTGCAGTAGCCATTTGCTATGAAAGTCAACAGAAAAAATTCAGAGAAGATAGGATTAGGGCATTGTGTTAATATCCTTAATAAACTAATGTGAAAAAGGTAAATAGTAGGTGGAAATGTGAAATGTTAAATATTAAAATAAATCCAACCAAATTGTTTTCATGATATATCTTCCTTTACTCAAAGAATGGAAAACTTGGGGCTGGGATTGTGGCTCAGTGGTAGAGTGCTCGTCTAGCACATGTGAGGCCTTGGGTTCGATCCTCAGCACCACATAAAAATAAATAAACAAAATAAAGGTATTATGTCCAACTACTTCTAAAAAATAAATATTAAAAAAGAACTTTCTTCGATTAATAATAACAATGAATAAATAAACTAGCATTTATTTGATGCTTACTATTAATTGGTATTTTGTAATATTTTCTCACATAATCTACCAAATAATTTCTGAAACAGTTTCTAGTGGTGGGGGAAAAAAACAGATTCAGCAAAGTTAAGTGACTGGTCCTGGCCTACATAAGAAAATTCTCTAAGGTAGTTGGCAGTAATAGCAACAGGCTGTTAGAGAAGTAAACAGATACTACCTGAAATCTGTGCTATCTCTAGCCAGCAGCTCCCATTGGAAAATACCAATAGGCAATGGGAACATAGTCACATTCTGAAAATAACAAAGAACCACAGATATAAATTAGAGCACATGATTGTCAAGCTTTTGGATGTGACTGGCAAATAAAAGACAATTTTACCTTTTTAAAAAATTTTTTTGGTCCCAGGGATTGAATTCAGGGTTGTTTGACCACCAAGCCATATCCCCAGCCCTTTTTATTTTTTATTTTGAGATAGGGTCTTACTAAGTTGCTTAGGGCCTAAGTTACTGAGACTGGCTTTGAACTTTAGATCCTTCTGCCTCAGGCTATCCAGCTGCTAGGAATATGGGCATATGCCACAATACATGGCCAATTTTACCACCTGTAATGAGAAGGCACTGGGTTTGAGTCTCAGCACCACATATAAACAAATAAATAAAGGTCCATCAATAACTAATAAAAAAAATTTTAAAAATACTTAAGGAAAGGCTTCTAAATTTAAAAAAAGCATACTTATTGAAATTATGTGTCTGTGTCTAAATTATGCTCCCCTGATACAGAATGTCAGGGTTGCTGTATTTGGATATTTGTGAGATTTTCAAAATTTAAAAAAATTAAAAAAAAAATTTTAATTAGTTATACTTGACAATTAAAACTTTAATTTTAACTTTAGCCTTTGTTAACAGATTTATACAATGCTTGTGTCAGTAAAAGTGCTATATACTAATGGCTCATTTCAAAGCAGATGTTTCCATCTTATCATTAATCTCATAATATTTTAAAATTCATTAAGTTGATTTAGAAGGAAAAGAAGCAAAAGGAGAAATAATAAAAAGTCCTGTATTGGCTATAACCTAAGACTCACTGCACTTGTCAGAAAAGACACACTAAGAGATATGAACAGCATAGTATGGCTATTAAAAAACAAATGAATTTCAGGTATGGCACATAAATCTAGTTGACTTAATTTTGGATATCTTTCTTACCTGATAAAAACCATAGATGTTGTGAAGTTCTCTGTGCTCCCAGTTGCCATGATGAATGGCATTCTTTTGCAATGTTAGCTCAGGCCCTCTAAAGACTGAGGGTTCATTCATGTCATTCCATATGAAAAGGATATCTGTAGATCCCTAGGAAGCAAATCCTGGTCATAAAACACTACCACAGTGATGATGTTACTATGATAGCATCCCTATTTTTCTTTTCTACCCCCATTTAACTTACTTATTTATTATGTTTTTCGGAAAGGGAATTGTGTCTATTTTGTTCATTGATAAATCTCAAACTCCAAGAATAGTACCTGGCCTACAGAAAGTTCTCAATAAATATTGATTAACAAATAAATGTTGTCCTGTGTTGTCTATGAAATATACATTGCCCAGCAAGTTCACTCCAAGATCTCCCTAGAGACCCCTACTGGAAAGGTTATGAATTTTGACAATTAGGCTCTACAGCATCCACCATAGGCTACAACTCTTAACTAAAGGCAATTATAGCTATATATAGAAGATTCTATCTTCTAAAACTCTGAAAGATTTGGCAGCTCAGATATCTGTTTGTTACCATGATCTACATTTAGTGTTGTATGTAGAATTGTTCAGAGTAGGAAGGGACAGGTGATTCATCTAGTTAACATCTTGTTGTAATTTCTTTTATAGAAATCTCTGGTCTCTCAGCATTTGGCTAAATAGCTACAATTATAAGAACTCCCTTGGGCAGCTCATTCCATTATTTTCCAAATGTCTTGTTCCTTGCAATATCACCTCACAAGACCTAGCTTCCCTTCTCAGACACCATAATATCTCTTCAATTACTCAACTCTGCCATACTAGTGTGAAAACAGCCTTAGAAAACAGTGAAGTGAATGAGCATAGCCATATTTGGTCCAAGGGTGGTTGTCTATCCATGCTTTAAGTTATTTACTAGTATCCTAATATATGATGCTCAGAAACTAATGTCTGATGGTTAAGAGCTGGGCTTGGCAGACAAACAGTCCTGAGTTCAAATTCTGGGTCTATCACTTGCTAGATGGGTGACATTGGCAGGCTTTCAAACTCTCCATTACTTAATTTTCTTATCTGTGGAATTATATTTAGTTAGAGCTCCAATTTCAGAAAATTATTGTGAAGAAGAAATGGTATAATGCATATAAAGTGCTTGACATGTATTCATTTTGGTTTAGGTATCACCATCAGCATCACCACCACCACCATTATCAGTATCAAAGTAAATGGTTGAGAACAGTTCTTCAGATGTGGCTGCTCCAGTTTTCTCTGTGGTTCTTATAATATTTTAAAATAATTATTATTCTTTGCTTTTAATGATACTCTACAGTTTATATTTTCACATTTACCATACCTTTAAATATAGTTATAGATTGCTTATTTTATATAAAATGTATATGGTAATTTTGAAACATAATAAATACCTGTTATAATGTACATTGATATATCACAGAGTATGTTATAATAGTGGTTAAAAATCACAGCCTTTGTGCCTTTAGTAATGCACATGGCACCTCTCCCAGCACCACCAAAGTCTGTAATGTATTGGTCATCCTTGCCTTTTCACACAAGCATTATATAACAAGAGCTATTCAAAGAAGCAAAACAGTTCTATTCACTTTCTTTCTTTCATCCTTTAAAATCAACTAGAAAAGAACAAAAGAATAAAGACCTACCTGATAAGCCGGGAAAGCAAAAAGACCCGAATACCATTCTCTGACCTTGGAATTGGTGAAATCCAGGTAAGAAGAGAGACCTGGAGAGACATAATAGTAGGTAGTCTGTTAGGAATAGGGGTCATCACAGTAAAATGTAAAGAAGTAAAGAAGGTATCAGATGTGAGAACCAGATAATCAATGGGCACTTTACAACATTCCTTAAAGATAGGTGAGAGAGGCAAGGTCTCCAAGAAGTGAATGAAGGTTCTACTGAACTCCAGTGAAAATCACTAGACCTTTCAGCACCAGAGGCCCTGGGAAATGTCAGTGAACAAGCATCAAGACACAGCATGTCCCTCTCTGATGGCCTAAGATAGCCCAGGTATTATATTATTATTATTATTCCTCCTCCCCCTCCCCCTCCCCTCCCCCTCCTCCTCCCCTCCCCCTCCTCCTCCTCCTCCTCCTTCTTCTTCTTCCTCTTCTTCTCCTTCTCCTTCTCCTTCTTCTTCTTCTTTTTTTAAGACTGAGGATTAAACCCAGGGGTGCTTAACTACCAAGCCACATCCCTAGCCGGGTTAGAAGAGCAAAGAACAATCACAGGAGAGAACCTGCAGGATGCTTTTTTTCTTTTCCTCTTTCCTTCCCTTTTCTCATTCATTCTCTCTTTCTCTTTCCCTCCCTCCCTCTCTCCCTCTTTTTTGTTACTGGGGATTGAATCCAAAACCTCACACATGCTAGGCAACACTCTACCATGGAGCTATACTCCCAGTCCTTTAAAACATTTATTTTGATTCAGGGTCTTGCTAAGTTGCTGAGATTGGCCTCAAACTTGAAATCCTCCTGCCTCAATCTCCCAAGTTGGATTATAGGCATGTGCTATGATTCCTCTATTTCTTATCTCTATTTGTTTAAAGAAATATGCATGCCACTGAGGTTTGCTTATTTGTTTGTTACATTCATTCAATTACTGATTAATAAATATATCCAAACATATATTTCCAATGGTACCAGGTTGTTATAGTTTAGATTTTACATGTCACCAAAAGCTCATGTGTTGAAGGCTTGGTCTCCAGCTGAGAGATGGTTGAAACTTTAGGAGATGGGACCTGGTTGGAGGAATTAGGTCATTGGAGCTGTGTCCTAGAAAAGTATAATGGGACTCTGTCTCCTTTTTCTCTCTTGCTTTCTGTTCTCTGTGAAGTGTGCAGCTCTCCTCTGCCATATGCTTCCATTATGATATACCACTATGATATACTGCCTTGGCACAGGCCCAAAAGCCATGGGGCCAAATGATTCTGGACAGAAACATCTGAAACTGTGAGCTAATATAAATATTTTTCCCTTCAAATTAATTTCTTCAGGTATTTTGTCACATAGGGAGAAAGCTGACTAACACACAGATGTTATGAAAGATACAAAGAAGGCAATACTTTCTTTCCTTGAAGGTGCCTAAGATGTAAGTAGAAGAGTAGATACTTACTAGAAATGAGAACAACAGCCATGTAACCTGCATTAATTGGTACTAAATAATTGGAAATAGTAAGTATATAAAGCAATATCATACCAGGCCAGCATACTCCTTCAAAGTCACTCCCTTCACGATTTCTCACAAAAAAGCCCTGTTCTTTGGCCTTAGTGTAAACTGAGTAGTCAGGATCAATCTTGATGTGGGGGTCACTGATGACCACAAGCTGTCAGGACATAAAGGTTTGAAGATATCATCAAGTTTTATGGTTAGACTTAATATTCATTTATATGTCTTCACCATAGTTTTAGGGTAAAATTTTATTTTGAAACAATTATATCATCATGAAATATTTCATACATCAGTAAAACTCTATAGTCTTCTGTGTGCTCAGAAAAATTAAAACTGATATCAAAACCAGGCCAATCAAAACCAATACCAATGCTGCTATGAATATAGGTGTACAAATATCTGTTTGAGTTACTGCTTTAAGTAAGTTCTTTTGGGCATATATCCAGAAATGGGGATTGCTGGATTATATGTTGATTCTATTTTTAATTTTTTTAAAGAACTGCCATATTGTTTTCCAAAGCAAATGTACCATTTTACATTCCTGTCAACAGTACACAAGTGTTCCAATTTCTCTACATCTTCACCAATACTTACTTACTACTTCTTAAATAGTACCCCTCCTAATGATGTTAAATGGTATTTCACAAATAAAAGTTTTAATTTGCACTTTCTAATGATTAGTGATGTCGAGCATCTTTTTGTAGCTTGTTGGCAATTTGTCTGTTTTCTTTGGAGAAATGTATGAAGTTTACCCATTTAAAAATTTTTGCTGTTGTTGTTAAGATGTAGGAGTTTCTTATAAATTCTGGCTATTAACCCCCTTTTAAGAAGCTTTTAATATCTCCAAATGTATCCAAAGAAGCCTATAATAAGGCCCAATCTTTCTGGACAGATTCTCTACTATTCAAAGCTTCACATGCTTTGCTCTTTCAAAACAGCCTCTGTTTAGCTTTCAAACATCCATCAATGCTCCATCCTCTAATTACATTGCCTTCTTCCTTCCCTCTTTTCCACTAATTAGAGACTCATCCTTCAGGGGTACCCTACAATATACCTGTGACACAAACTCCTGACTTGAGTTCTCCAGTAGGTTAAAATCTTCCCTCTCTTCGCCCATTCCCACTCCAAACTTTCTTTGGCTCTCATGTTACTGCCCTGTATTGTGGTTACTGCATACTTGCCTTTCCCCCACTTGCTGGAAGACCCTGAGGAGTTCATCTCTGCATTCCCTTCAGTACTAGCACAACCTCTTGAATGTTCAGAGGCCTCAAAAAACAACCACAGAAATTTCCACAAGGACAGAAATTTCTAGAGCCAAGCAGACCAGTGTTGATTCTTGCTATGCTACTTATTCACCGTGTGAAAATTACCAAATCACTCTAAGTCTCAGCTTCTTTATCCAAATAATGGGGTAATAAGACTATTATAATATATTTTATTACACCGTCTACCTTATAGTAAGTACTTAACAAATGATGCTGTTTTAGAGTTAACAAGATTGATTCTAGAGACCTGTGAGAAGTTTGAGGATCAAAGGAATGGGTTGAAAAGGCAACTTTAATACTAAGGAAACCACCCACACAAGCCCTTGTAGGACCTACGCTCAGTAGGCCCGGTTTACACTCCCTGGCGGGGCAGACATCTGCCAATGCATTCTGCTGTCACATATAAATAAAAAAATTAACCAAGTAAACATAGATGTTATACTACATGTTATACTACTACATGTACACATATTGATGGAAATAAAATTATTTTTATGAAAAAAAACAAGGAGAGGGATTGTATCTATTTATATAATGTATATGGGGTTCACCCCCTTCTCCTCTCTCCATTTTCTTTTCTCCCTCACTCTCTTATTAGAATAATCATTGCCACGTCCATACAGGAAAGAAGCACTCTACACTTTCTGATGATTCCTCCTCTTCTCCATTTTTTATCATTTCTTTCCTTGGCCAGACTTACAGAGTCCACCAGGGAAGCCTGAAGAAAAAAAGAATAATAAAGAATCTGACTCCATTTTTTATATTTGGCTGTTCAGGATTTTCAAGCCCCACCATTCCCTCTTACCTTTCTGCCCACATCTGGGTAAGCTGACAGGAAGTCCTGGTGCTCCCTCATTTGGTGCCAATAGAAGGTTCAAACCATGCAATGCAAGCCCTAGCCCATAGGTAACAATCCTTACCCTGGAGAGTGAGTGCACTCTAGCGCCACCCTCTAGCCACCTAAGAGCCAGTCTCCTTTCTCAGCAATCTATGGTCATTTTCAAATCATCTTGGGAGCTGACCCTATTCTTCCCAGAAGGCCTCATTTTGTGATGAACTTTCTCATACATCCTTAGTACATGTGTACAGTATTATCAAATTTCATACTAGAACAAAAGTTTGGTATGGTTGGGAATCCATCATGTTACTACAGGGTAGCTAAAAAAAGAGAACTGAAAATGCTAGGCCTCTTCATCATTCTGTAGACATAAACAACTAAGGAAGGGATGGATGGAGTTAATACCTTTTCACCATTCGATTTCTGTTATCACAATTATAATTACATTTGAAAGTACCATTTTCATGGACTATTTTTTTTTATTAAATGGTTTTCTTCCACTAATGTACCAACACGAACTTCAAATAATTTTAAAAGCTTTGTAATGAAAAGTTTAAAAATGTTGGCTTGTTCTACCTTACGTTTTTTGCTCCCGAGCAGCTCTTGCATCCTTTTGGGGTTTGCAAATCTTTTTTTATCCCAGGTGAAGTACCTCTTGCCCTCAGTGTGCTCTATGTCCAGCCATATGACATCATAAGGAATATCATGTTCATCAAATCCTGCATCCACTGCCTTTACATCTTGCTCATCTTCATAGTTCCAGCGGCACTGGTGATACCCCAAGGAGAACAAAGGGGGCATGGCTTGTGTACCTAAAGACAAAAATGAGAACTGAGTCAACTACCATAACAATGATCATCATTTGGTGAGCATTTTCCCAATGGGTACTAGTAAGCACTGAGCTTGTACGTACATAGAATATCAAGGAGAAGAAAGCATAGCTCTTGCTTTCAAGGAAGTAGCAATTAGGGTGATAAGCAAGCATATAAATAAACTGCTTTGAATTGAGGTATAACTGCTATGTTAAAGGTATCAGCCTAGTGCTTTGGGACCAATTATAGGGAAACCAATGAATTCTTCCTTGAGTTAAGTGTGGGGTCTTGAGAGGCTTCAGAGAACAGGTAATACTGGTTTGGATTCTTATGAATAAACATAAGTATACCCTATAGGGAAAAACAGATAGAGCATACGGGCATAGGGAACAGAAGAGACACAGAGGCAGATATGCACATGACAGGCTTAGGAAAAAAATAAATATTTCAGAGTGTTACAGTGTAAGGGAGATAAGAAAAGGATGAAACTGGAGAGGATCAGTTTGTATAGGGTTCTTTAGTTCAGGTTAGCAATTCTGAATCTTCTTTTATAGGAGTCATAAAAATTTGGCAAAATGTAACCTTCCTGATCTTTATTTTAAAAACTGATGTCAGGGAGCACTGTTGAATCTGACTTAAAGGGAAATAGAAGTAAGGAAGAACTGTCAAGACATTATTGTCAAAACATTTACTTATACTATGGAGGACATTTGGTCAACCACTTGGATTTACCTTGTTCCTCTCCCAAAGTCTTACTAAAATCAAGGTAAAGAAAATAAAAAATGAATAAAGCCATAAAAACAGAATGGTGAAAGAGTAACTTCAACAAAACAAAACAAAACAAAACGGAAAGAAGAGGGCAGGGGAAGGATGGTAACTGCTGAGCACAGCCAGGGAAGCTCTCACCTGAGTGCTTGAGGGAAGCATACAGATGAAGAAGAAAGCTCGACCCTGTCCCTAGTATACAAGAAGACAGAAGAATATTCCAACTCCCACCCCTATACTGGACTATAAGATCATTCAGGCACACAGAACTTCCAGGCTGAACCACATTTTTAAAAAAAATTTTTTATGCCTTTGTTTATTTATTTTTATGTGGTGCTGAGGATCAAACCCAGGGCCTCGCATGTGCTAGGCAAGCACTCTACCACTGAGCTACAATCCCAGCCCCAGGCTGAACCACATTTGAGGAAAATCTCTAAAATTAGATTCAGAGGCCCAAGTAAAGAAATAGAATAAAAGTACCTCTGAGAAAACAGTGACAATGCAAGCAACCAAAGTAACAATCATCAAAACATTATCATTAGTATTTCGGGAGATGAAAAAGAATTTGCACCCATAATACACAAATATAATAGCATAAACCAAGCATGAGGTGTTATTAACAAGTAAAAAATTAGAGAATAAGAAAGTACTCTTTGACATTAGAAATAGGATAGAATAAATGGAAGGTATGAAAGGCAAAATTGTGAAAATTGCTCAGAAAATAGGCAAAAAAAGGGAAAGGAGATAAAAAAATCTGTAAAGGAGAAAGGGAAAAAGGAGAGGAAGAAATTATAAAAGGAATAACATAAGGTTGTATTCCTGAACTAAACAACAAAATTCTCAAGATTGAAAGGGTCCACATCTAAAACCCAGCATAATAACAACAATAATTATTATTATTTTGCAGTACTGGGGATTGAACCCAGGGGTGCTCTACCAGTGAACAATATACTCAGCCCAGCTTATTTTCTTTTGAAACAGGGTCTCACTAAATTGTTCAGGTTTATCTTGAACTTATGATTTTCTTGCCTCAGCTTCCCAAGGAGGAGTAGTGAAAGTGGGAAGCCTATCTTGTTTCTGATATCAGAGGGAAGCTGATAGGTTTTCCTTTCTTTTTGTGGTACTGGGGAATGAACTCAGGGTGTTGTGCATGCCAGACAAGTGCTGCATCACTAAATTATATTCCCAGCCCAAGTTTGTAGTCTTTTAAAGATAAAATGCTTTATTGCTAAAACTAGTGGGTGTGGGTTTTTTTTTTTTTTTTGGCACTGGGAATCAAATCCAGGGGAGCTTTACTACTGAGCAACATTCTGGCCATTTTCATTTTTCTTTTGAGTTACTTAAGGCCTTGCTGAATTGCTGAGATTGACCTTGAACTTTCTTTCTTTTTTGTACCAGTGAGTGATCCCAGGAGTACCTAACCACTAGTGCTACATCCCCAGGCCTTTTTTGTATTTTATTTTGAGACAGGATCTCACTGAGTTACTTAGGGCTTTGAGTTTTGTTTTGAACTCTTGATCCTCCTGCTTCAGCCTCCTGCACTTGGGGTTACAAGTGTGAGCCACCATGCCTGGTTTGACCTTGAACTTTCAACCCTGCCTCAGGCCTATTAAGTTTCTGTGATTATAGGTGTTAGCGAACATGCCCAGCACTTTAGTGGTATATTTAAATGGAAAAAAAAAAGCATGGAAAAGTTCAGGTTGGAATATTGGTTATGTAAATTATATAAATTAGATAATACCCAGGGACTAAATGTGCCAAGGAAAGTAGACGGTGAGTATTAGGGATTAGAGTGTACAGTTCTAGATTCAGTATAATTTTTAACTGTGCTAAGTGGTATGAGGGTGGGAAGGGTAAACCTTGCTACTTAAATTGCTTAGGTAAGTTGTTCATAGATCCTACATAATGTACAATAAATATTAACCTTCAGTGATGATACATGAGATAGGGGAAACATAATGGAACTATAAAATGGCACCTCTACATGCAAACCTGTAAGGTAGGAGTACTGCTTAAAGACATCAGAAGGTGTAGGTCCTGTCAGCAGAAAAACATCAATGATTCCACTCTCTGATATCCAGCACACATCAGTTCGAGATATGACCTTTTGTTTAGCAGCAGCTGGGCCCACCTGTGTCCATGTATACTGGAAAAGGAATGGAATAAAAATTTGAGAAATTTCCTCTAAACTATGATACCAATTGTATGTAAATCCACTCCTTTAGATAGTACTGACCTTCACTGATTACACTCAAAGCTTCTGGTGGCAAAAAACTGCCACCAAAAAGAAAAAAAGAAAAGCTAGCAGTGGTTTTATTTTTTCTCTAAGTATGACATACAATCATGATCCACAGCTTACCTCTACTGAAGGTTGTGTATTGATCTCCACTAGTGTTTCTGAGGCATTCAGCCAGAAAATGCCTATAGTCCTGCCCAGTTTGTGGGCCAAGAGATAAGGCACTGAGCCATAAATGCCCATTTTGTCATGTATTTTATATCCATAGACATCCAGGTTATAAAGACGGTAGGCATCTCCATCCCTAAAACATAAATGAGGATTATCATCAAATACCATTACAAATGTATAAATAACGAATAGGACAGCTCCACTCTCCACTCTCCATGCAAACACTTAGGTCCTATGCCTCTTCTAAGACTGAACACTACTTCCCTAAAATGTTTCCTGACACAACCTGGACAAATGTTGTCTCCCTCTTTTGATTCCTTTGGCACCCCCTACCGTGACAACTGGCATAACTAAGCCCATATTTCCGATCTCTTTTCTAAATATCTCTTGTGAAAGAAGGATAATCACTTGTGAATCTTCCATAATAGGAAGCACACAATACACATCCACTCACAGATTTTGTGAGTTAAGTTTCTGTAGCTAAAACAAAAGGATAGTGTTCTTAATAGACTTCCACAGAGCTGGCAGGGAAAGATCAAGAGCTGACGGGGTGGGGGCACAGAATTAGGTTAGTATGAGAGTAGCACAATTTTTTTATGTTATTTGTTCTTTTTAATTACACATGATAGCAGAGTTTTATTTTGACATGTTTATACACACATGGAGTATGTCTTATTCTAATTAGGATCTCAGTCTTGTGGATGACATGATGTTGAGACTGTGATGTATTCATATTTGTATATAGGAAGGTCATGTTAGATTCATTTCATTGTCTTTCCTATTCCTATTCCCCCTCTCTTCCTTTCCTTTCCCTTTGTATAATCCACTGAACTTCTATTCCACCCCCTCCTGCCCATTGTATATTAGCATCCACATATCAGAGAGAACATGCACCCTTTGGTTTTTTAAGACTGGCTTATTTCACCAAGTCCATCCATTCACCAGCAAATGTCATAAAGTCATTCTTTTTATGGCTGAGTAATATTCCATTGTGTATTTATACCACATTTTCTTTACCCATTCATCTATTGAAAGGCACCTACTTTGACTTCATAGCTTAGCTATTGCAAATTAAGTTGCTGTAAGCATTGATATGGTTCTGTCACTATAGTACACTGATTTTAACTCCTTTGGATATATACCTAAGAATGGCATAACCAGGTCAAATGGTGGTTCCATTTCTAGTTTTCTGAGGAATCTCCATACTGCTTTCCAGAGTGGTTGCACCAATTTGCAGTCCCATCAGGATTGTATGAATGTACCTTTTCCCCTGCATCCTCAAACATTTGTTGTTGCTTGCATTCTTGCTAATTGCCATTCTGACTGGAGTGAGATAGAATCTCAGTGTAGTTTTAATTTTCATTTTTCTAATTGCTAGAGATGTTGAACATCTCTTCATATTTTTTGACCATTTGTATTTCTTCTATGAAGTGTCTGCTCAGTTCCTTTGCCCATTTATTGATTGGGTTATTTGCTTTTTGAATTATTTACATATCCTGGAGATTAAGAGAGCAGCACAGGTTCTGATGGACTCATTGTGCCTGTTAAATAAACAAAATCTGATCCTTGAAATCTGGATTAGACTCTTGTTTCCCTTTGGTTTTGTCCTAGTCTGATGCCTCTGGTTATTATCTATTAGCGTTAACCTGAAATGACCTTCCCCAGGGAATCAGAGGTTATTTGAAATGCCATTTTCTGTCTCACTATCCCCTTCAGAAGTAAGTGTTGTTTTTTAGATCAGTGATTTTTCACAGTATATTCTCTCAGGGCTTTACAAAAAGGCCTTGTGAGGTAAACATAAAGCCTAGGGATAAAGATCTCTCCCCAACTTAGACTGCAGCAGTTTCTAATTTTTACTTCTTCTATATTGTTAGGTTCAATGTTATAGTTTGTATACTTATCTGATGCCAAGAATTGAACCCAGTGCCTCACACATACTAGGCAAGTGCTCTACCACTGAGCCACACAACCCTAGCCCTCAAAGAAGGTTCTTAAAACTCTACAAATAATATTAAATCAGAACCTCCTGTAAGGGTTCTTATTTTCACATACCCAGTATTTTTAAGTTGGTGAGATTCTGCATGTTGTGGGATCCCATAGAGATGTTCAAATCCATGTAAGGAGAAATCCAAACCAACGGAGGTAGGACCTGTAGAGCCCAGGATACCAACTGAGTTTTGCTTCTCAAGAGGACAATCAATTAAGGAGATTCAGTTAACAACGGTGTAGCAAGACAACTAGACCAGGTGTAGAAAGACCTGAACTTGCTCTGATAAATCAGTAAATGCTCTGTAAGGACTCTCTGTAAGATGTTATATTCAGGTATTGTTGGGATACAAAAAATGCATATATAAGACAAAGCTCTGGTCTCTTATTATGTTGCCTTAGCTGTGTGCTAAAGCTCTCTGTGTCTTCATTTATAAACAAATTCCTTTATTACCTGTAAAAAACAAGGTTATAAAGTTTTAGATTTTTCTTAAAATAAAATACATTGCATATAAATTTATATACCTATAATATATAAATTTCCTTTAACCAAACACTCCTTTATTTAACAATTAATTTAGAGATAAAAGTGTAAATTAGTAGGAGACAAAATATTTACTTAAATTCATACCTAAGTTAAAACTATTTTACATATCACTTATAGGATTTTTTTTGGGGAAAAGAATGCTAAAGAGAAAGTAAAAAAGATTATGATGTCACAGAAAGGAGAGACAGAACCATATCCTTCATATAAATTTTGAGCATTCTGTTAGCCCTGATCATTATACCACGCTGTAGATATGTAGAGCTAGAACAAAGATTCTCAGAGAATTAGGGAAGGTTTATTATTCTACAGGCAGGGAGAAGGGAGAAAAATGAGTATTTTTCTAACCACAAATGCCCATGTATCTGAAAGGGAACTCCTGAGAGATAGACTCTATGTCCTCCTCTAACCCCATCACTAAGCCTGGTGATAAATGTCACAGATGGGCACATGACACCTATGTGAATGATGGGGAGACCTTGAAAAAGTTAAAAACTGCCTTGGAATGTTGAAGCTGATACATTCTATAATTTGGTTTCTCATTACTTGAATCTCATAAAAATAGAATGCAGAATTTGTAGCTGCTTGTTCAACTGGACAGTACAGCAGCATGATAAGCTAGACCCCTCTGCAGGGCCTGTACTTTTCTTACACCCTCCACACTAAAAGCATATAATTACCATTTCTTTGTTGCAATGCATTACTGAAGGATAGAGGACACAAATTTGAGATTTCTGTTCACTTTCAGAAATCACTTGTTTAGGTGCCAAAACTCACGGAACTTTTAGATAGATACTTAGCCATTTTGAAGTTAAGCCAGTTTCAATTTACCATTAGCTTTGACATCCACAAAACTTCCAAATTTCTCTTCCCAAAGGCCTAGATCCTCTTGATTTTCCTGTTAATAAAAAAGGGGAACTAATTGAACTTATAAATTGTAACAAATGTGGTTGCCACTCTTATAGGCTTATGCCCCTAATTATCAGGAAGTAGTTAATGATTTGAGTTCATTGCCCCTAATCCCCTATATGACTTAAGTTCTCCAATCTTTGAGGGGAAAATGTTAGGTAGCAGCTAGTAATGAGTAGTGAAATATAAACCAATAGCATAGCAGGATCACAGGGTTTCTTTGAAATTGCCTTTAATGAACAATCAAGTAACTTATAGAAGAACAACAGGTGTACTAACCCAGAGAATAAGCAGGTAGAAACAAAGGGAGTCAATTAAGAAATATATCTAGAAAAGGATAACTCCAGGCAGGTATATTGAGGTCATTGTGAAGTTAGGTTTTATGGACATATGTTTCTCAATCTATTTCAGAAGGGAAATTTCATTAATAGCATGGTGCACTAAGATGAAGTCTGCTTGATTATTGACCCCAGAACCCGCATTAACATAGAACTGACTGGTATTGAATAGGATGGTCTCCAGGACAGATCTGGAAAGAACAATCCAGGGTCAAAAACTCCCCAGCCTGAGGTGAAGGAGGAGATAAAACATCTGATTGGTAAAAAGACTGCAGAAGGTGGTATCTAGTTCTTCTGACAAACATCAAACAGTAATAAACTTGGAACCTGCATTGTTTCCTTTATTATTCACTTCCTTTTTTTTTTTGGTGTAGATAGACACAATATCTTTATTTTTATGTGGTGCTGAGGATTGAACCCAGTGCCTCACGCTTGCGAGGCAAGCTCTCTACCACTGAGCTACAACTCCAGCCCTTTATTGTTCTCTCCTTGGAGGTGAACTCCCACTCCTCCACCCCCACCCCCAGCTATGCACACTGCTTGAGCCTTATTATACTTTTACTCATAGTAAAATAATAAAATTCTATTGGTTGGCTCTTCAAGTCTGACTTTGCATTTTCTTTTGTAAGGACACAAGAACTTAAGTTTGGAGCTTCATCTCCCAATTCTCCTGTGATGCAACATCTGCACATTTTATTTGGATTATTAAGAAATAATAATAAAAGGAATTCATCTTTTAGAATGAGTTTGTGATGTCAGTATATTTACTAAATCAAACTGTATTTTATATAAATGTCATTAATCATCCTTATTTTTTTCTTGTGGTAAAATAACCTAAAATTTACCATTTTTAAGTATGCAGTTCACAGCATTAAGTAAATTAGCTCTGTTGTGTGATGATGTTCATTATCATCATCTCTCTCTAGAATATTTTTCATCTTTCCAAACTGAACTTCTCTATCCATTAAATAATAACTCCCCATTTCCTCCCATGGTAACTCCTTTCTCTTTCTGTCTCTAAGAATTTGACTGCAGTAGGTACCTCATAAAGTGGAATTATATATAGCATTTGTTCTTTTGTGATTGGCTTATTTCACTTAGTATAATGTTTTCAAGTTACATTCATTTTGCAGCATTACTCAGAATTTCCTTTCTTTTAAAGGCTGAATAATATTCCATTGTAAGTATAATAGTACACTTTGTTTATGTACTCATCATCAAGAGACTTGAGTTGCTTCCTCCTTTTGTCTACTTATGAATAAGCTGCTGTAACTTCACTTTTGAGTATAAACCCAGAAGAACTATTGGATCATACTATAATTCCATTTTTAATTTTTTGAGGAATAGTTATACCTTATGACATGAATATTTGCATATGAACTAAAGTGATGTGAAAGCACTTTGAAAAATGGTAGTGTTTATATATGCACAAATTTTTAAAAATTGGGCTGGGCATGTAGTTCAGAGGCAGAGTATTAGCTTAGCAAATATTGAGGCCCTGAGTTCCATCTCCAGCACTGGGGTGAGGGGGAGAAAAACATTTTTCATGTAAACATGTAAGGTAAAACATTGAGCTCAAATAATTCCAGTCTGTTTTGAGAGACCCTAAATAGAGATTTGTTTTTGCTGAGATGGGCACTTTTCCCTTTATCTTCCAATTAGCTAAACTACAGCTATATTCTTTTTTTTTTTAACAATTTTTTTAACACAATGCCTTATTTATTTATTTATTTATTTTTTATGTAGTGCTGAGGTCCCGCCCGTGCTAGGCAAGTGCTCTACCGCTGAGCCACAATCCCAGCCCTACAGCTATATTCTTATGTTGACTGGGATGGCAATGACTACTTGGGTCCACAATCTTTTTAAATTTTTTTAGTTGTTGATGGACCTTTATTTTTTATTTATTCATTTATATGCAGTGTTGAGAATTGAATTCAGTGCCTTACACATGCTAGACAAATGCTTTACCTACACAGCTACAACCCTAGCTCTAAGGTCCATAATCTTTTGATCTAGAGCTATGAACTTTGCCAGATTTTCCTTTTCCTTAGGAGAATGAAAATGTTTTTTAAAAAATTGCATGTATATGAAATGCATATTTCTTTAAAAGGAACTCTTTGTCCATTTCTGGGTTATTTGTTCATAATTAAAAGTTCTGTAAGGTGGACCTCTACATTTTTTTAAAACAAGAGCTCTGGTCTTTTTATATCTATATTTTATTTTATTTATTTTTATGTGGTACTGAGGATCGAACCCAGTGCCTCGCACATGCTAGGCGAGTGCTCTACCACTGAGCCCCAGCACCAGCCCCATGATCTGTGTATTTTTAAAAGGCATGCCTGAATCCTTAATGAAGGCAATAGTATCCATATGGATGGGGTTTAGAGTCCATGAATTCTATTAAAAAATATGAAATTCAAAAACTTTTCTATAGGGATGGTTCAGTTTTTGCCAAATTCTTGCAAAGGGTCTGTGACTCAGGCTTTAACATTATGTTCTTCAAAAGGTCTTTTGCAGATTCCTTGGTCAGATTCCTTCTTGTATTCTCCCAATCATTTAGTCAATGCCTGCCTTTCCCAAAAGATTCTAAGTTCCTAACACATGTTTGGGATTTTTTTTTTATTCAAGGTTTATTCTTTTTATCCAACATAATGCCTGGAAAACAAGCAGGCACTTAAGATGTATCTGTTTTTACAAATAAATGAATATATGAATGAATAAATGAAGGAAAGAACAAGATGATAAGGCAAGCAAAGAGATGTAATGTCATTTATATGTAGTAGAGTATTAACAAGTACTCTTCTGGATAAGGGAGGAACAGAATTCATTATGTGCCACAAAATCATGATTGTGGTGAAGAACATAAAAAAGATAAATTGTTCCATCTAAATTACCTGAGAGGTATTGATTGATGCACTCTCCTCATTTTCTTTGGTAGTTCTGTTTTAACATAAAGAAAATTATTTCACTCAATGATGGAAAGACGGAATTTTGTTCAATAATAAAGATTTTCATTTTCAACTTTTAAGATGTCATAAATTATATCCTTTAACTTACTAAATATAACACCATTATAAACTCAAGCTTAGAAAATTGAATATTAATGAACAAACCAATAGCTTGATTGTTTACACAAATGTACATGTACTTGAAAATTTGTTAATACTTTAAAATAACTTTATTTTTATTATAAGTGTAATATATGCTCATAATATTTTAACAAAAAATATGTAAACAAGGTAGAATACAGCTTTCCCCACTCATTGTACTCTGGTACACAGCAACACAATGTAGTCTCTCAGAATAATTGTGACAATTTATTCTAAAATTTTCTTTTACCCAAAGTTGTATTTGAGTGTTTATCGCCCAACATTTTTTTGTTTTGGTATTATACCACTGAGCTACATCACCATCCCTTTATATTTTTATTTTTTATTTTGAGGCAGTGTCTCACTAAATTGCCCAGGCTGGCCTCAAACTTGAAATTCTCCTGCCTTAGATTTCCAAGTTGCTGGTTTTACAGGTATGCTCCACTGTGTATGGCTCTCCTCACATTCTTTTTGTGCGTATATGTGTGGTATTAGGGATTGGACCCAGGGTTGCTTAACCACTGAGCCACATTCCCAGCCCTTTTAAAATTTTTATTTTGAGATAGGGTCTCACTAAGTTGCTCAGGCTCGCTTTGAACTTACAATTCTCCTGCCTCAGCCTCCTGAGCAGCTGTGATTACAGGCATGCACCACAGCTCTCCTCACATTCTTAACAACATGGGGCTTTACCAATCTTTTGGGTCTTTGCCACTGTAAAATTTTAGAAAAGATAAAGCATTTCAGTTTGTATCTCTATGGTCATTAATGATGTAAATTGCTTTTTTATACATTTTATGGTACTTCTATTTCTTCCTCTATGAATTATTTATTCACATTCATTATACATTAATTTGTGTCTTTAATGTAAAACACAGAACATAGATAAAAGAACACAGAGTTTAAAGGATAATACTAAGTGAATAGGTATAAATGTACCACTGTGCTTAAGCAACTGAAATAACTTGTTCCTTTAGAGTATCTATACACCTCTTTTCAAATCTATCTGCTTTCACCTCATACCTTCAGAGATAGCACTATGAAAGTTGTGTTAATCATTCTCTTGGTGTTTTAAAAAAGTATTCTCTGTCTCTCACAAACAGACACACACACACACACACACATAAATCCCCAAAAATACATTATTAGGTTTTATACATTATTAGGTTTTACCTTTTAAAATAAATAAATAAATAAATAAATAAATACACACACACACACACACACACAGTTTATATTCTTTTGTGATATGCTTTTTTTTACTCAAAATTAATTTTTTGACATTCATTATGTTAACACAACTTGCTATAGTTTATATCCCCCATTTTTAAATTTGTTTATTGTTCTTTTGCTTATGGATTTAGATGATCTTTCCTATATTGTACATATATATATATATATATATGTGTATATATATATATATATATATATATATATATATATATATATATATATATATTTTTTTTTTTGGTATTAGGGATACTTAACCACTAAGCTACATCCCCAACCTGAAAAAAATCTATTTATTGATTTATTTTTCTTATTTTATTATTTTTTTTTACTTTTAAAGTACAATATAGAATCCAAGTGTACAGTAACAATAATCACAGGTCTGCATGGGTGAACAAAAATCAAAGGATAGCTTTAAATATCTTATACATTTAGGAAACAGTGCTAATAATCAGAAATAGACTTAGTCAAAGCATACATATATACGACAGGTCTTCAAATGACAGTGTGGCCTTTCTGTGTCAGATACAATGTATAAAAGAGAACACTTATTGGTTGTCTTGTCAGTAAAATTATATAAACTTTCATTTTATAAGCTTTTACATAAGACTTAGACAAATCTTAGATAGATAGTTCTCAGATGCATACATATACCTAGTTACATATATTTTGGATATCAACAATATTGTTATAATCTAAATAACGGTTGTTGTTTAACCAATTACAAAATAATCATTTAAGACTTTAAGGGCTGGGGCTATAGCTCAATTGGTAGAGTGCTTGCTTCGCATGCACAAGGCCCTGAGTTCAATCCCCAGCACCACCAAAAAAAAAAAAAAAAAAAAAAAAGACTTTAAAACAGCTACAAACCCTAATTCCTTTAAGACTTAGTTTCCCCAAGTAATAAAACCTAACAAAAAAACAAGAAAATCATTGATAGATAAGAGCAGATTAACGATTCTGACTTTTCTTCATATCAGTACATTAAAGTTTAAATAATTTTGTGCTAATTATAGCCAATTTAATCATAAACACAAACTTTTTGAAATTTACCTTCCACAAACCTTCTGTGACTTACTTTGACATTCACAAATTTACATCCTTAGTTTTGTCCCCTTTCATCTTGAACTTTAGTCCAAGAATATTACTTTGCCAGCAAAATATGTTCTCATCAAGATACATTTCTTTCACCTCCTAACTTTCCATTCTCAAATATTTCCATACCTATAACTTTCTTTTATCATTTTAGTTTCAGACCCTTTTAAAATTTTTTTAGTTTAAATATCCATATATATTTTCACATATTCATATGTTTATATATATTCATGTATATATATGAATATACCATAACAGCAACCAAATTCCTGCTCATGCATTTTCATATATATATTCAGTTACATAATTATAAACTATAACTAAAACAAAACATTAACCTCAAAAGAAAAATAACTATATACAAATTTACATCCATTTAAGTATTTTCATGTATATTTTTACATATATATTCATTTTTGTATTCCTATATTTGAATAAAAATTTCAATCCCTAAACTAACCCTATTTATTTTTCTATGTTAGTCCTATACCCACCATATACCTTGGAGAACTTCTATACATATAAACCATAACATTTTACATGATTGTACCTATGTATTTGGGGATATAAATTCATAAATTCACAAATTCACATAAAAACCCATGGATATTTTATATATATACTCATTTCCATAAGTATAACCTAAATTTCACACATAACAATATTGCTTACCTTAAAAATATCCATAGATAAAACTATATATATATATATATATATATATATATAAATTTTGATATGTGATAGTACCTCTATATTCATATTTATATTCATATATATTGACATATATGTTCCAAAGGTAACCCATCCCCTAAACCAAAGCCATAATTCAGAACTAAATCTAGTCTTACCCATAATCATGAGCCTTTTTAACAAAAATTATAAACATAACTTTGAATATCCATATATATTTTCACATATATATTCTGTATATATTCATATACATTCATATACATATGTATATACCCTAATGGCAACCAAATCCTACCTATAAGTTTTTATATATATTCTGTTACATAATCATATCTAGAATCTTAAGAAAATTATAAAAATTCATCTCAAAAGAAAAATAATTATATACAAATCCATGCCCATTTAAATATTTTCATGTATATTTTTACATATATATTCATATTTGTTTTCATACATATGGAAAAAAGTGTTCAAACCCAATATTACTGTGTTGTGGACTATTTGATTCTTGAAGTTGAGAAGGGTTTGCTTGATGTACATAGATGCTTCGTTGTTTGGGTCATGATTGTTGTCTTGTTGACATATAATTCCCTTAAGCAATATGAAATATCCTTCTTTGTCCCTTGTGATTAACTTTGGCTTGAAGTCCACTTTATCTGATATGAGAACAGAAACCTCTGCTGTTTATGTCATCCATATGAGTGGTATGTTTTTTCCTATCCTTTCACCATCAGTTTGTGGATGTCTTTGCCTATGAAGTGAGTTTCTTGGAGATAGCACATTGTTGGGTCTTGTTTTTAATCCAATCTGCCAGTCTATGTCTTTTTTAAGAATTTTTTTTTAGTTATACATGGACACAAGATCTTTATTTTGTTTATTTATTTTCATGTGATGCTGAGGATTGAAACCAGTGCCTCACATGTGCAAGGCAAGCGTTCTGCCACTGAGCCACAACCCCAGCCGCAGTCTATGTCTTTTGATTAATGAGTTTAGGCCATTAATGTTCAAGGTTATTACTGAAATATGATTTGTGTTCCCAGTTATTTTGGTTTATTTCTACTTTTTAATTTGAATTAGTTTATCCTTTGATTAACTATTCCTTTAATATAGTTCTTCCCTTTGCTGGTTTTCACTTTTTTTTTCATTTCTTCTTCATGGAATATTTTGTTGAGAATATTCTGAAGTGTAGGCTTTCTGGTTTCGAATACTTTTAATTTTTCTTTATCATGGAAGGTTCTTATTTCATCCTCAAATATGAAGCTTAATTTTGCTGAATATAGGATTCTTTGTTAGAGCTCAGTATATGTTATTCCAGCACCTCCTAGCTTTGAGGATCTGGGTTAGGAAATCAGCTATGATCTGTGTTGGTTACCCCCTCCATGTAATCTGATATTTTTCTCCCATAGCCTTTAAAATTCTATCCTTATTCTGTATGCTAGGCATTTTCGTTATAATATGACATGATGTGGGCCTGTTGTAATTTGTACACTGAGATCCTGTAAACCTCTTATATTTGACTTTCCATTTCATTCTTTAGATTTGGAAAATTTTCTGATATTATTTCATTGAAAAGACTGTGCATTCCTTTAGCTTGTATCTTCATGCCTTCATCTATCCTGATAAATCTTAAATTTGTTTTTTTTCATGATATTCCATAATTCTTGGAAGTTCTGTTCATGGTTTCTTAACATTTTCTCTCTGGGTCAACTCTATTTTCAAGAGTATATATTCATTGTCTGAGGTTCTGTCTTCCAAATGGTCTAGTCTGTTGGTGATGCTTTCTATTGAATTTTAAATTTGGTTTGTTGTTTCCTTAATTTCAAGGATTTCTGTTAGTGT